TAACCTCTCTGAGCTTCTCATTTATACAGTCAGGATAATGAGCTCCAAACACTGAGCCATGGTAAGAACTGAATAAGGTGGAATAAATGAACTTTCTATAGTAGATATGTGAAATATTGCTGTACTCATCACTGGGCACCAAAACAAAAAGCCTCTTCATCTCAAGATTCAGAGGGAAAACAAACCACTGCCTGATCATGGTGATCACTGGGGTCAAGACACCTGCTGTCGCAGTGAGGCTGGGGTAGTGGGACAGGCACTTGTAGCCTCCCAAGGAATGACTTCCAGTCCCTGGTGGCGGGCTGTCTTCTGCTGGTCATAGTTCCCAGTGCCAGCCCTCTGGCCTCTGGTGGACTTGGAGGCAGTGGAGAGTTGGTGGCAAGATAAGGGACCCAGCAGAGTGAAGGCCAGCACAGAGGAAAGGGTGCCCAGACCAGCCATGGCTGCCGCCTTTTCAAGGCTAGTGGCTCCAGTGGCACCTACTGAAAAGACTCAGTGACAGGTTGGGAGCTTGGAGGCAGTGGGGACCTTCCAGTGACCCAGAGAGGCAGTGACAGGTGTGACGGCCACACAGCCCCTCCAGATTCCAGGAGAAGAGGCCACTGGAGAAGAGCAGAGAGGGTGGTGTGGCGGGGAAAGAAGGGCTGCGAGGCAAGAGGCCAGCACGGAGGGAGGGCCTTCTCCTCAGTTCCCTGCGAGACCGAGGAGTGGGGATGCTTCTGACAAGCTCTGAATGTGGATGGAGAAAACACACGGACGAAGGTTCACCGAGACACAGCCTCCTCTCAAGGCCAGGGCTCGAGGCTGGGAGCTGCTCCTCTCTTAAGGGTATGGAGCCAACTCTGTCCGCATAAAACCATGGCTTCCCTGAGCTGGAAGGGATTTTAATCCAGTCTCCCAGCTGATAGAGACACTTCTCTAAACACATCCCGGACCCGTCATTATCGAGCCTCTAACTGAACACCTCTGGTTACCAGAACTCCCTTCCTTCCTCCAAAGGCATCTGGCGATTAGGAAGCTCCCTCTTCTGGAGCTGGAACTGCTCTTCTTGCAGGGCTTACTCATTGACCCTTGCTCTACTTCTTTGGCATTTGTACAAGAAGTATGATCCCTCTTCCATGCTAGAGCAGGGCGGCTCTGAGCAAACCTCCCGCTCCCTGGGGACAGGAAGTACTCCCCCATAAGCAGGGCTACACAGGTCTTCTCTGCAAATTCAATGTAGCCCAGGCTGAATGTTTCCTCCTACAATCTGAGTCTAGGATCATCACTCTCCTGGGATCAGGCCCTCTAGCATCAGGACACCCTAACCCTAAGCAGAGGAGTCTCCGTCCTCAGGACAGCAGACCCCATGCTCCTTTCTGGATGAATCACTCTTCCAGCCTGCCGCAGAATGCAGACACCTTTCATGGTATGATGCCAGCCAAGGGCATCGCCATGATGCCTGGAGACCCTCTGCTGCCCTGCAACCCCTCCACAGCTTGAAAGAGCTGGCACGGCTGCTAATGAAAAACTGACCCCGCATTGCACCAGGAGGCAGTAAATTTTATGAGTCTGTGTGAGTGGAGAGAGGCAGCTGTGGGGGCTGATTTCCACTTCCTGACACAATACAAATGTCTTAGTTTATGTAGAACTAATTAAAGATCTCTCAGGTCTTGCCATTTCATTCACCAGGCACCCATAAAGCCCTGTGGTGATGGCAGCCGCCTGACTGCAGCGTGCGAGGAATGTGTTTCGCCAGGAGTCATTCTTCCTTCCCAACCTTCCTCCCCCTCCTGCTGCTGCCTTTCCTTCCTGCCTCTTTTCTCCTCCTGGAAGGCTCTAGTGGCTTCCCAGACAGGGTCTGGAGGGCAGGGATGGGGTCCTTACATCAGGTGGTACCATGGGAAGGAGCCAGACCTGGAATTGAACTCCTGCTCTGCCACTTATGAGCCAGGAGACTTTGGGCAAGCTCCAGTGCTGTGGTTTGAATGTGTCCCCCATAGCTCTTGTGCTGGAAACTTAATCCCCAGTGAAACAGTGTTGAGAGGTGGGACCTTTAAGAAGTGATTAGGTTATGACAGTTCTGCCCTCATGAATACACATTCCTGTTGCTGTCATGGGAGTGGGTTATTTATCGTGGGAGTGGGATAGTTGTCATGAGTTAGTTATTGTGGACATGAATTAGTTATTGCAAGAGTGGGTTAGTTATTGTGGGAATGGGTTAGTTATTGTGGGAGTGAAATAGTTATTGTGGGAGTGAATTAGTTATTGTGGGAATGAGTTAGTTATTGTGGGAGTGAATTAGTTATTATGGGAATGAGTTAGTTATTGTGGGAGTGAATTAGTTATTGTGGGAATGAGTTAGTTATTGTGGGAGTGAATTAGTTATTTTGGGGGTGAATTAGTTATTGTGGGAGTGAATTAGTTATTGTGAGAATTAGTTTGCTATTATGAGAGTGGGTTGGTTATTGTGGGAGTGGGTTAATTATTGTAGGAGAAGATTTGTTATCATGGGAATGTGTTTGTGATTGCAAGACTAGGTTAGTTATTGTGGGAGTGGGTTCGTTATCATGGGAGTGGGTTTGTGATTGCTGGAGTGGGATAGTTATCATAATAGTGGTTTAGTTATTGTGGGAGTGGGTTAGTTATGGGAATGGGTTAGTTATCATGGGAGTGGGTTATTGTGAGAGTGGGTTAGTTATTGTGGGAGTGAGTTAGTTATTCTGGGAGTGGGTTAGTTATTGTGAGAGTGGGTTAGTTATCATGGAAGTGGGTTAGTTATCATGCGAGTGGGTTAGTTATCATGGAAGTGGTTAGTTATTGTGGGAGTGGGTTAGTTATCATGGGAGTGAGTTAGTTATCATGGGAGTGGGTTAGTTATTATGGAAGTGGGTTAGTTATGGAAGTGGCTTAGTTATTGTGGGAGTGGGTTATTGTGGGAGTGAGTTAGTTACCATGGGAATGGGTTAGTTATTGCGGAAGTGGGTTAGTTATTGTGGAAGTGGGTTACTTATCATGGGAGTGGGTTTGTGATTGCTGGAGTGGGTTAGTTATCATGGGAGTGGGTTAGTTATTGTGAGAGTGGGTTAGTTATTGTGGGAGTGAGATAGTTATCCTGGGAGTGGGTTAGTTATTATGGGAGTGGGTTGGTTATCATGAAAGTGGGTTAGTTATCATGGAAGTGGGTTAGTTATCATTGAAGTGGGTTAGTTATTGTGGGAGTGGGTTATTGTGGGAGTGAGTTAGTTATCATGGGAGTGGCTTAGTTATTATGGAAGTGGGTTAGTTATCATGGAAGTGGGTTAGTTATTGTGCATTAGTTATTAGGTTTGTGGTTGCGAGAGTGGGTTTGTTATAAAAGTGAGCCTGGGTTTCTCTTGCTCATGTTCTCTTGTCCTCTCCTGCCCTTCCACTGTCTACCATGGGATGACACAACAAGAAGGTCCTCACCAGATGTGGGCCCCTTGACCTTGGGCTTCCCAGCCTCCACAGCGGTAAGAAATCAGTTTCTTTTCTTTATAAATTACCCAGTCTGTGGTGTTGTGTTATAGCAACATGCAATGGACTAAGATACACGGTTTTCTGATTTGTTAAATAGGAGAATAGTCATACCAGCCTCATAGAGTGGTTTTAGTGCTAAAAATAATGCAGGTTGTGTTGAAAGACTGCCTGGACCGCAGCACATGTTAAGTAGTGACTATCATAAAATTATTATTGCTATTACAGTTATTGTAATGACTGCCTCTGGGTCTTTGCTCAAATTGTTTACCTATCTAAAATATTGTTTGCTTTCAGATTTGCTGGTTGAAGGCTCACAGTGGGAGATTAAAAGTAGCCACAAGGCTGGGCACGGTGGCTCACGCCTGTAATTCCAGCACTTTGTGGGGGCTGAGGCAGGCAGATCACGAGGTCAAGAGATTGAGACCATCTTGGCCAACATGGTGTAATCCCATCTCTACTAAAAATACAAAAACTAGCTGGGTGTGGTGGCCCGTGCCTGTATTCCCAGCTACTCAGGAGGCTGAGGCAGGAAAATCACTTGAACCCAGGAGATAGGGTTTGCAGTGAGCCCAGATAGTGCCACTGCACTCCAGCCTGGAGACAGAGCGAAACTTCGTCTTAAAAAAAAAAAAAAAAAAAATGCCACAAATCCTTTCTACTCCTCCAATGAAGTAGAGCCTAAGACTCTTCCCACATTGATGCACATGACTTGGTCATGTGACTTGCTTCAACCAATAAGACATTAGGAAATGTGATGCCGGTAGATCCCTGAAAAGTCCTTATGCACTGAGACCTGCCCATTTTGAATGCTGCCCTGGACCTGCTGTGCCGTAAGGAAGTCTGTCTAGCTTCCTGGAGGATAAAGAGGCCATGTGGAGAACAGGGCACCCCAGCCCACAGCCAGCATCGGCCACCAGACATGTGAATGGGGCCATCTTGCCCTCTCCCACACTTCCACCTGTCATTTGGTGTGACTGCATCAGTGAAGCCAGGTGAGATTAGCAGAATTCCCAGATTGTCAATCCACAGAATTGTAGGAGAGAGCCAGTAAACTTGGAATAGTTTGTTACACAGCAATAGATAACTGATACATTCACCCATTCATCAAGATTGTTTCCTCACCTGTCTTGTCCCAGAATATTTCCCAGACTTCTCTCAACCTGAAATTTGTCTCTCCACCTCCTGTAATCACGCAGTACCTTGTGATGGTAGCACTTAATAAAGTCTGCCTTCAGTGGGGTTATTTGGCCCATTGGCAGGAATGCTTCTGACTCTGGCCTGTGAGAGCTGGACCCCTCCACGTCCTACATCCTTGCTCAGCACAGAACTCTGCCTAGGTGGGTCCCAGTAGTCTGGCTCCTACTTATCAGGAGCTTGGGGCGCCAGTGAGACCCTGGCCTGCCTCAGTACAGGCACAGCCACCTAGGTTGACAGGGAGAGACCCTCTTGGGTCTGAGGTCCAGTAGGCCATGGATTTGTCCAAAGTCCTGCCCCACTTGGGTCCTCCCCCTCTGGCTTACCTTCCGGCCGTGGTAGCCCTGGATCCCTGGATCTCCCTGAGGAAACAAAGAGAAGGCCATAAGAGCTTTTTATTTCCCTGCCAAACTTTGACTTGTGCTGTTCCCTACACAATGCTAACCCTCTTCCTCTCAATGACTCCGAGTCCCACTGCCCCTTCAACACCCATCTCCAGCCTTCCCAGGAGCAACAGCTCTTAGCTTCCTCTGAGGCCAACACAGATTGTTCTACTCTTGGGAACAAACTCCACTTTGCAGAGGCTGAGGAATGGTAGGAAGGCTCACTTGGGTAGGGTTCCAGGAGACCTGACTGTTGAACATGGATGGACAAGTCTCTTTCCCCCAGGGCTCTTAGCTTCTGCATTCATAAAATAGTTGGGCACAATCAGTGCTTGGCATATTCTTGTCCCCAGAGCCCCAGGGTCCCCACCTTCAAAGGGAGAGGCTGTTTGACACTGTGGGCTTCTGGGTAAGGGTTCACAGGAGAGTGGATGACCCTAGAGGTCTCTTCCCATTCTGACACCTTACAAAATACTGTTTTATTGGGATATTGTGACGGTGTTCTGGGCATGAGCTTACAGTTTCCAGCTAGATTCTATGCTCCTTGGAGGGTGGACTGTGCCTTCAATGCTAGCCCGTAGCACCTGCTTCATTGGCCTGAGCACGCAAGAAGTGCAATTCTTATTGGAACCAAATTAGTTCCTAAGAGAAGGGTGGTGTTTTGGAACTGGGTCAAGCTTGATCCATCTCTCAGCTGAGACCCCTCTCCTCTCCTGCCTCAGTCACCTTCTGTGCTGCCTCCCCTTCCCTCCTGCAAGGAATTCTCCCACGTGTTCAATGCATCACCCAGAAGGACACTCACCTTTGGTCCAGGAGGCCCAGGTAAGCCCTGTGGAAACAAACAAAAAGGTGAGTGGAACTGGTTTCCACTGGTAAATGGTTAGGGCTAGCCATACTTACAGTGGACCCTGGGGGCAGAGTAGCCCTCAATAGCTATGGCGAAAGAATGGGCATGTTACCCAACAGCTCTAGGGAATCTCAGAAGGGGATCTGAAACCTGCTGAGGGTACGTGGGGATAACAGGCGTATGTCACTCTTTGCAGTCATATGGGCGCCACGGACAACTCTGCTGTTGCGCCCATGGAAAGTAGGTCAGCAGCATCATGCTGAATTGAGTGTGGTTTGGTCCAGATCTTCACTCACCCACCTCCTAATTGGAACCCTCCCTAGAAAGCCAGCCTTGCCCAGCAGAGCCTTGGTTTTGCCCTTGGTCCTGCCTGCTGGCAGAGGGGCCCTCTGTCTCCTTCGGCCCAGGGTACTGTGGGCATGGCAGCTGGCCACAGTGAGGTGGTGTGAGCTGGGGGAGAGGCCAGGGAAGGCTGGCTCCACCGCAGCCTTGGGTGTAGATGTGGACAGCAAGCGTGGGCTGGAGAAAGCCTTGATGCCTGAGTGGTCTGTTGCAATTGGTTTAAAAAGCATGTTCTCTGGTTTTATTTTTCCTGTGGTTGTTGTCGTTATAAACAACCCAACAAAGAAAACCACCTGGCGTGGGTTCAGTAAGCGAGAACCCAATGTGTTGGGAGGGGTGGGGTGGAAAGGGCAGCGGTCAGCAGAAAGTGAATTTTGAGCACTTTTTCGTTTTCTTGGCTTAGTTGGGTTGAATTTCCTAAGTTTCCCTTTCTTTCAGGTTTTCCAATCTAAAAACTGGTGGAAATAAGATAAATCCTCCTCTCTGGGGTGCTGGGGAAAAATTGGGGAAAAATTTAAAATTCACAGCAGGGGTCAAACAAGGCAGGGGTCACCACGCTGGCCTTCCCAGCCAAGGTGGGTGTCCGGTTGGGACATGGCTGTTGCCCAGCCCAGGGAGCCCCTATAACAAGCTTCAAGGTTGAAAGCTGGGCAGCCAAGGGGCCCAGACATGCAACCAGGCCATCTAGAATGCGGCCGCATACACAGAGGACTGTTTGTTGGGGACATTCTGGCCTAGTGATTCCACCTCTGGGACTCTGTTCCAGCAAAACTATCAGAGATGCAAATAAACATTGTTTCTTTGTCTATGTTCCATTCTTTTCACAATGAATTTATGACGCTTTTGTCGTAAGGAAAAACAGGCTTTGATTTGGTTTTTCTACCATGTGGGAAAAAGGTGATTAAAAAGGCCTTTTGCCCTTTACCTGCCTCTCCAATATCATTAGTCCTATGGGTGGGTGGAAGCACTGTTTTCTCTGAAGTCTGGATCCCCACCGAGTTATTCTGTCTTGGGGCTTTGTTGTATTAAATTGGGCTGGGAAAGAGTGGAGTCTTAGCCAGGGCTTGAACATGGGTGACCTAGTGACCACTGGGCTTGACCTGTCACTTGAATGTGGTCCAGTCTGGAGGGGTGCCAGTTGGCCTCTCTGGAGCCCTCCAGGCAGTGGCCCTGCAGGCCCCACAGGCTTGACACATCCTCAGGCTTGGCATGGGGCTCTCAGCTGACTGGACCTTCAGCTCAGCTGGCAGGTGGCCCAGCAGTGTGAAACCCACACACACCCCTGGAAGGCCTGATCATTGGGGTGCCAGGTAGTTGGCTGAACCCTCATTACCTCCTTCAAAATCCACTGCCCCTGACTCAGGTTTTCCTAAGGGGCTCAGGGATAGCCATCAGAGGTGCCCTTCGGAATTCTCTTTCCAAATTCCCCTCTGCTGGGGCTGGGAACGGGGCAGTCCATTACTGGTCTCCTCCCTGGAAGGCAGGAGACATGGCCCGAGCTGTGTTTCAGAGCCAGAGTACAACAGGTGGTGAGTGTGATGGGGAGGAGTAGCCCCTTGTGTGCTTCACCCACATCCAATGGTCTTACCAAGACATTTCTGCCTTTTTTAGAGGACCCACTGTCTATTCAAAGTTAGGGTGCTTCCAGAGAGTTCTTGGGACAAGTTTTGAAGGAGAGAGGAAGGGGATACTTACCGGTGGCCCCATGGGCCCTGGCAGTCCTGGGTGCCCCAGAGGTCCACTTGGTCCAGGGGGCCCTGGGGGCCCTGGTGGACCTTGGATGCTGGCCTGGCTCTGTTCACCCTGAGGTTTGTGAAAACAAATGTTAGAGAGAAGGCCCCCAGAGCTGCAGACCGGCTCCCTCCCTACTGCCATGCACCCCGTGAAGGCCTGCTGTGATTTCTGCTGGGAAGGCAGTGGTGATGGGGGGAGGAGATGGTGGCATGATAGTGATGATGCTGTGGTGGTGGTGATGACATGCAGGGGCTGGTGGCAGTGAGAAGGAGGCCAAGACATTAGGTCCCCGAAGGTGGGGCTTCCAAAGAGGACTTGCTGCACAGAGAAGCCATGTAGAGAGATGTTCTGCAGGTGACAGAGGCAGAGGAGTACGTGAGAGATGCTCCCACCCTGGCCGGATGGCCTGAATCTTTGGCCTGGGCTTACATCTGTCACCTTCCCTGTGTGGCGAGGCACACGGGCTCCCCAAGCCCCAGCCTCTCAGCCACAGAATGGGAACAATAGCCCTCATTTCCTGGGATCCTTAGGTCACAGCCCATGGAATTTTGTCTGGCTCACTAAACAACTGAGCAAGAGACTCTACGTCCAAAATTTGGATTGGTGGCTTCTGATGAAACACTGGGGACCCTGGCTGTGCTGGGCCCACATTCCTATGTCCAAGGAGTGGCTGACCTTTAAGTGGGGCCCGAGTTCTCTGGCTGCTTTTGTCCTCTCCTTCCTACCCCTTGTCACACACAGCCTGCTTCTGTTACTTAGGGGATCCACCTGGCCTCAGAGGGTAGTTGAGCCTCAGTTTCGTTGAAAGAGTTTGGAAGCTGTGTGGAAGTGCTTTATGCTGTGTGGGGAGGCTGTTATCATTCCCTTGTCTCCTCAGCCACCTGCTCCGAGCCCAGCCTGCACCACACACCATGCCTGTCCCCGGAACAGACTGTGAGCCCAGGGAGGTAGGGATGGCATCACGCTTCCCTGGGAAGGGGAGATGGCCTGGTACTCGTGACCCAGATCTCAGGGCCGCGGCAAGGCAGAGTCATCCTAGATCTAAACCAACTTTGGTTCCCTGGTTTATTATTTTCTGTTTTTGTTTGTTTTGACGGAGTTTCACTCTTTGTTGCCCAAGCTGGAGGGCAGTGGCATGATCTCGGCTTACCACAACCCTCGCCTGCCAGATTTGATTCTCCTGCCTCAGCCTCCCGAATAGCTGGGATTATAGGTGCATGCCACCACACCCAGCTAATTTTTATATTTTTAGTAGAAATGGGGTTTCACCATGTTGGTCAGGCTGGTCTCAAACTCTTGACCTCATGATCCAACTACCTTGGCCTCTCAAAGTGCTGGGATTACAGGCGTGAGCCATGGCGCCCAGGCTGGTTCATTATTTGATAAATGACCTCTTGGGTCAATCTGGGCTTAGCTCTTGTGAAGAGGGGCCCATCCCTGCAGATGGGCTGAAGCAGAACTTCCTGGCAGGTGTGGGAGCTCTGGGCTGGATGCTGGGGGATGCAGGCGACTGGGGCTCCAGGCCGGCCCACCTTTCTCAGAGGATCTCAGCAAGCCCCTATGACACACTGGGTCTCCTGCTTCCTCATGTGAGGAAGGCAGCTGATGCTTGCTGCAAACTCTAGAGGGAAGCCGTGGTGAGAAACAGGAGTGTACAACCTGGGAATGAGAAATGTAAGCTTTCAGCAAGACCTGCTGGCACCAGCTTTCGGCTGGAACACCTGTGGGCAGATGGCATCCAGCAGCGTCACTCTGGGATCCAGGCCTTATCCTGCCACACTCTCTGAGAAGCCACTTTAGGGCTCAGGGTGTCGGTGGCAGAGGAGGCAGGTGCTGAAATCACTTTGGCGGCTGCCCTGCCTGCAGGTCCCCTACCCGGCTGCATGCTGGTCATTGATAAGTCTCAGGTGGCACTGTCTCTTCTGAACTGAGAAAGGCTTCACTAAGCCTCAGGCCTTAAGAGGGGACCAGTGCAGCCTCCTTTTCAACCACATTAAATCTGATTCAGCTGCTTGGGTCCCGGAACCTCCTCAGAATCCTGTACTTTGTGCCTTTATATTTTTCATGGTGTTTCTACATTCACAAGAGGGGGGAGGCTTAGTCTGAAGCAAACTCCCGAGGTTCTTTCTGACTGTGAAATTCTAGAATCTTCACAACGTCACAAATCTTACGTTGCAGAAGAGAAAACTGCAGCTCCGACAAGTTGAATTCCCTGATCAAAATCACACAGGAATTCAGGGTGGTGCTAGGACCCAAACTTGGAACTTCAGACTCTTCCTGTTCTTTCCAAGTCCCCAGCAGAAAGGGCTCACTGTCTACTCTTTCTGCACTTTGGAAATGACCTCCAGCGCCATCTGCCAAGCACATCATATCTCATGTAAGTTTCCTTTTTCAGTGAATCTTAGACCCAATGTTTAAGCGGCTTGCAGAGCCTGTAAAATCAATATTGGCTTATTGATAGGAAATGGACAAGCATTTTTATGTCCCATCGTGGCCGACGGCGTAAAAAACCTGATTCTGGAGGCAGAGTCTGCAGCAGGCAGCTCAGCGGTACCTTGTCTTCTTTCTCGACTTTGGAAAGCAGGTCAGGGTACTACAAAAAGTTCTGGCTTAACCTCTTGCTCTTGAAAAGGGAGGCAGTAACATGCAGCGGCCAGGAGGAATCCCACACCCCTCTCAATTTCTTCCTTTGCAAAGCGGGGATAATGAGGTGGCTGGTGTGGGGAATGCATGAGATAATTTGCGTAGAATTCTCACAACAATGCCTGGAACCCAGCAAGGGCTCAACAAAGAACAGCTGATACAGCTAAGACCTGGAGGTCGTCGTTGGGGCCCCAGAGAGTGGCTATTCTGAGAGTGTGGACTCAGCTCTCCTGAAATGGGGTCCAGCACAGGCTGGGGTGGGTGGCAGGGGTGCTTCTCCGAGCTGCCAGGGGGCCTCCTGAGTAACCATGCTCCAGTGAGTGCTCGGGCACACGGAAGCTGTTGAGGATTTGGCTGGCATAAGGTGATACACGGCCTGCAGGCTTGGGTGGCACTGGAGTCACGTGTCCCTCTGTATTTTTAGCTGTTAATTGGAGGGAGTTTTCAGCCTTGTTCAATCAGGTGCCTAAACATCCAGGCCCTTGGGCTCCTGACTGTTGAGTCAGGCCGGATGGTGACTCGAGGCTCTACGGTCAGGCTTTAGAAAGCAGGTCAGAGCCCTGCCACTGCTAGTGTCCTGTGCCGGGTGGGGGAACCCAGTGCAGCGTGAGAAAGGCGAGGAGCATGGCGGGCCACCTGGCCTGGAATCAAGCTGTGGTCTCTTGAGGAGCAGCGGCCTGATGGCTTTGCTGTTTGTGATCTGCCCCTGTCCCACCTCCTTGAGCTCAGAAGGCAGGAAGAAGGAAGCAGTTGCCCACAACGTTGGCTGTGGACTACATTCCCTCCACAGATTCCCTTCCCTTGCTCCCCAAACTCAGGTTATGAGCGGTCAGATGCTAAGCAGTCTACTCTTCTAAGCAGAGAGGAGTTAGGTCCAGCCGAGAGAGCCCTGGATGGGGAAGGTCTGAAGGCCTGACTTCAATTCCAATTCTGTTTCAGTGCCAGTTTCAATTCTGCCTCTTACTGTTAGTATAATGTTGGGCAAATCAATTCACTTCTCTGAGCATCAGTTTCCTTATCTCCAAAATATGGATACTAGTAATAATAACAGCTAACAATTATGTCTCTTAAACTGTGCCAGGAACTATTCCAAGTGCTTTACATATCAACAAAAGCCCTATGAAATAGACACCGTTATTATCCGTATTTTATAGATGAGAAAGCTGGGGCACAGTGAGGTCAAGTAACTTGCCCCAAATCATACAGCTAGTTACAGGAAGAGACTGGGTGCAAATTTCTGCTCTGCAATGCACTGGCTGTGTGACCTTGGCAACTTGGTTAAACTCTCTGAGCTTTGATTTCCTCATCTGTGAAATAAGGATGATCGTGCCTAATTCATTAAACTGTTGGAGAATTAAATATAACCAGGCCTGTGAAATGGGTAACAGGGCGCCTGGCACACACAGACAGCTCTTGTTGGTGGCTGTTATGAGTAATCATTGTGTGGAGGTAGTTGTGGGTCTCCTGAGGTGTGTGTGTATTTCCATGTCTATGGCATAAGTGGACTTATTTTTGTCTAATTTAATTTCACTGAATTGGAGTGAGGTTCTGGCCTTGTCTACAGCCCCAGCAGGTTTGCCAGGCCCCTCGGGAAAGCCGCACATGGTCTGGACAAATGGGAAGTGTCTACCTGGAACGTCCGCCTTTTTATGACCGGGGGTGGAGCCAGTCGCACTGAATTGAGGAGAGGCAGCAGCTGAGGAGAAAGATGAGTTGGAGGGCCAGAGGGCAAAGGCCAAAGATACCAGGTATTCAGATCGATGCCGAAAGTCACCAGGAGGGCAGGGCAGCCAAGAGGGACCAGAGCAGAGGAAGAAAGAAGAGAGATTAGCGTGCACATGAGCAGCGGGAGGAGGGAGTGGACAGGGTACTCTCCTGGCTTGAGGGTGCAGAGCGGAGCTTGTCCTTGGATGGCACAGCTGTCCCTTGGGAGGAGCTATGGCCATCACCCGGCCTCGCGCTCCAGGTCGGAGTTTGGGGTGTTGGCCAGCAGCCCCCGGAATGGGACAGTGCCCCCCCATGGCCAGGCTTGCCCTCTGTGGCCATGCTGGGCTGCAGAGGCTACTGGACATGCAGCCCAACACTGCACTGACGGCCCCACCCGTCCCTGCTCGCTGGACAGAGGGGAGCCGACTCAGAGGCTCTGGCTAGGGAGCCACCAGGCCAGCAAAATTGGTACTTGAAGCTGGGCTGGTGTGCGGCTGGTGGGTTCTTTTTTTGGTTGAGAAAGAAAGGCTGGTGTCAGCACATCTGGGACGGTGGTCAAGGGCAGTGCCAAGCCCGGCTTCTCGGGCTGAGCTGGCTGAGGGTGCGGCCAGTGTGGGCACATGCTAAGTGCTGCTAAGGGCTCACCCTGGGGCTGGAGGGCCTGGAAAATAGAGGCTGGGCAAAGATGTCTCCAGAAAGTTCAACCACGTTTTTGAGGGAGGCAACTTGCAATGCTATTATCTAATGTGATTTTCATTTCTGGAAATTCTTGCAGCTTCCAGTCCCTCTACCGACTGAATCTGAGCAACCCGTGGCTTTAGGAGGCCCTTAGAGCCCACATGAAAATAAAAAGATGGCATATACTGTCATCAGCCGCTTGTTTTTGAAAGCACTTAAATCACAAGCGACTCCCAGGATGGGCATTACGAACCAGGAGCTGCTTGGGCTGTGAGTGTGCCCAGCTGGGGATCGGGAGCCCAAGTGTGGCCTTTCCAGGTTGCAGCTGCTGCCTTCTGGGGCAGCAGTCGCACACAGAGCTCCACCTGCTCCTGCTGCCAGGGCCTGGGGATGTGCAATGTTGGGCTGTATGTTCAGGAAGCCTCTCAGGGGAGAGGGGCCAGGAGACCTTCCGGAACCCACAAACCTTCAGGGAAATTATGTGGCCGGAGCGCAGAGCTGCTGGCATGCTGCTTAGGCACTCCTAGTTTGGGAAGGGATGGAGTTGGCAGAGACAGGGCAACAGGGAACATGAGGGAGAGCCCACAGACACCAGCTCCCCTGCTCCCCACCCCTATCCTCTCCCTTCTTGGGGAAGCCACAAAGAGTCACCTGAATCTCTTGGTGTCTCTGGGCCTCGAGACCTGCCACCCCAACCCTGCCCGAAGACCCCTTGGAAAGCCAACAGATATCTAGAAGCCCCCTGATTTTCTACCCACTTTAAATAAACTTGCTCTGCCCCTCAGCTGGGACCCCAAATCTACTCCCCTGCCCCACACCTGACATGTTCCCCAGAGTGCCACTGTCAGGAGGCCATGTTTCACTGCACCCTGTGGCAGGGGTCTTCTCCAACCTTCTGTCACTACGCCCTTCCCTTTCCTTGAGTTGGGCTGAGGGTCAGAGAGCCCTGCACCCACCCCACCCCAAGCACTCACTAAGGACAGGTGACACGCTACCAAAGCCTCTGCTGTTGTGTTGTCTTTTGTCCTGGGGGATGTTGTCTTTCTTTTGGGTAACATAACAATCCTGTGAGCCCATCGTTTCAAATAAACACAGCTGACCTTCTATTATTGTATCAGAATAAGTCTGCCGGGAACACTAGGGCCCCTGCATCCCTGGAGCACGTGCTGCTGACGGGCTGGCTCTGTGCTGCTGCCGGCCGGCCTGCCTTCCTCCCTCAGCCCAGGCCCAGCACTGCCGCAGCCTTAAACCCATCTCAGCCTCTCACATAACAGGCTCACAGTGGTTTCTTTGCCCAGGGATCCAGAGCTCAGGCCTGCCTTCCAGCCTCCTGAGGGTCTGGGCAGAGGCTGGGCCCTGTTAGCATGGCCCTCCTGACAGCCTTTTAGAGTCAAGCTGACACTGAGCCTTGCTTATGTCTGTGTCTATTCCCAAAATCCCACTACCTGGACTGGCTGGCAGAAGTGGGCAGCCAGGGAGGCTGAGCACCATAAGGCATGTGACAGAGGGGAGGGACACCTACAGATGCCCATCCTCCATCCCTGCTGTCCAGGTCTGGGAGCAATGAGGCCCATCCACAAAATGAGGGGCATTTTTTCTGGGCCCAGCTCACTGGGGCTCCTGCTGGAGGAAGCTGTGCATATCTTGCTCTCCCCTGTCCCAAGTTGGACCCTGCTGCTGGAACACAAGTGTGAAGATTCCTAACAGGACAGTAGCAGTCTTTTGGGTTCTGTATCTTGGGGTGGAGCAAGGAAAAGGAAGGAGCAGATGGGGGTGGGCAGAGCAAACATCTCAGTCTGAAATCCCCACCCTGCTTAGAGAAGGGCTTCCTCTGATCTTACAGAGGCCAAGGAGAGACTTTAACCTTGAATTGCTACAGTCAGTCCCTGATTACCTCCCATTATTGAGGTTTGGATCTGAAATACCATCATCTGATACAGTGACTAATCTCAAAGTCCCACTTTTTTGGCCACGGTTAGGCTACCAGACACCCCCCTTCCCCCTACCCCACCAACATGCTGGATGGGTGGGGACTCAAACAGACTCACACAATCCGTGCTGCCTCGGAGGGCAATGTGCAGAGGAGCCACAGAGCTCCAGACACAAGCAAGAGCCTCCAACATACCGAGTCGGACGTACATACAAAGGGGCAGATGTACAGACACGCACAGGTGACAAGCGGCTCCACACGGCACACGGCCGGAGAAACACATCAGCTGCTCCCGCCAGACACAGTGCCACCCCAATCCCCGCTCTCTGACAGGCTGAGTGCAGAGGGCGCTGGATACTCCTGTTCCCCCACACTCTGTTAGGAACTGGAGACCCCAGGGAGATGAACCTGGGCTGGGGGCTGTGACCCAGGGATGAATTAAAGGGCTCTGCTCAGTTTTAGGGGTTCACTTACCCGGTGTGGGTACTCTCCACACTGACCCTGGGAAGGAGAGGGAAGGGGAAGGGGGTGTTAGGCACTTGCTGGGGCACCTGCCTCTCAGGCACCCCCAGGGCTTCAGGACATGCCTCACGTCTCATCACTCACCAGCCCTTCTGCTTTGGTTTTGGTCTGAGCCCTCTCAGGCAGAAGAACTAAGTCCCTCCCTTGCCCTTGGCAAGCAGCAGGGAAGAAACTTCCAGGGCCTGCCTGGAAGTGGCCCCATGGAGCTGAGGGGCGAGGCTTCGCTTTACACCACTTGCCATATGGCAGAGTCGGGAGTTATGCTCCATGCCTAGCTAAAGGTTGACCCTCTAGGCAAGTCCACCCGACAGCCCTGAACAGGAGCCCCTGGATGGGAGCAGCTGGCACCATGGGGATCCCCAAGCCACCTTCTCTGAGCTGGGAGCGCCAGGCCGCTGTACCAGCCACCTAGGGGAAGCACAGCAGAGTCTCTATCAGAAATTCAACAACACAGAGAGGGCGGGAGGCCAGGCCAGAGGTTTACAGATTGATGCCTCAGAGTCCCAGAGGCTCATGGAGGTGTCAGGGAACACCATGGGGTGATAGCTGGGAGGGGCCAGAAAGAGGCTGAAGAGGGCCCAGCTCCAGGAGGAACCCTGGAAACAGATGGAGGCCAGGCTCCAAGAGGACTCCTCACTCCAAGAAAAAGATGTCACCAGGAGTGGTGTCAACCGAATCTATTATGCCGCTCCTCAGGGTCGGTCAATTAAAACTAAAGTTTGAAAATAACCACTATTGACCCCTTTCTGCCGGTCGGGAGGCCATTTCCTGAGATGGCGCCTCTAGGAAACCTCCATTGCTCTTACCTTTTCTCCTTTTTGTCCCTGAGGTCCCTACAAAGAGATGGAGATGAGAGAGTTAGAAACCAAAGCTAAGGTCACAGCCACCCGAAGCTTCTCTGCTGGGAAATAGAAGGACAAGGTACCAACCGGCTGTCCTGGGGGACCTGTCAGACCCTGTGGGAAGCAAACACACACAGGTCAGTGGGCAGTCAGAAGATGGGCAATTGGGGACACCTGCCTGGGTAGAGACTGGGGCTTTTCAGAACGCCTGGAACCCTGAGGGCTCAGCTCAGCCAGCCATGGCCAGGTCTTCCCATGCCCACCACGTTCAAGGTGGTGTGGCCTCATCTACAGAGCCTCAGCTTCTTCACCCCACAGTGGGCAGGACTAGGGGCTGTGATGAAGGACAGATGGCGTCTTTCATCCATTCCTCCAACAACCAGCATCTCATGGGCCAGCTATGGAGGGGCTGCACCTAGATGTCAGGGAGTTTTCTGCTCCATGGGACACCCTGCCTCTTGCACACCAAGCCTCTGGGAGATACTAGTGCATTCCATCTCCTGCCTCCCAGGCTGCAGTGAAGCCCACTGAACCTAGAGGGCTGGGCCAGTGTCTCAGACACTGGGAGCCTTGGAGAAACGTTCGGCAAAAAAAAAAAAGGAAGTGGGAAGTTGGCAACTGAAGCCATGTTCTGGACTTCAAGGAATATAAGGGGCCTTGGCCGGGCACGGTGGCTCACGCCTGTAATACCAGCACTTTGGGAGGCTGAGGCTTGCGGATCACCTGAGGTCGGGAGTCTGAGACCAGCCTGACCAACATGGAGAAACCCTGTCTCTACTAAAAATACAAAAATTAGCTGGGCATGGTGGCATACACCTGTAATCCCAGCTACTCAGGAGGCTGAGGCAGAGGAATCACTTGAACCCTGGAGGCGAAGGTTGCATGAGCTGAGATCGCACCACGGCACTCCAACCTGGGCAACAAGAGTGAGACTCCATCTCAAAAAAAAAGTAGGGGGGTGGTCTTGAGATTTGCTTCAAGGCTGTCTTGTCCAGGAAAGGAGCTAGGGTCGGGAGGGACCCTTGCTGTCTGAGGAGGGCCCAGCACACCCTGGCTATCTTAGTAGGGTGCACTCAGGCTGGTATGGGGGGAAGAGGAGAAAACAAATGCCTTATGAGTTGAGGATCCATTCTGAGGCTGGTTCTTCAGGTATGTGCCTGTGAGGGAGATGCTTGTGTCGCTCCCGCTCCCGAGCAAGGTGACAGAGACAAGGCCCTGTGGCTTAGCGAATGGTGGCACTGGGACAGGTGCCCAGGTTTGTCTGATTGTCAAGGTCCAGCTGTTTCCACTCCACCAAATGCTCAGAACTGGGCCAAACCTTGGGAGTCAGAGCTTCTAGACTTGGCTAGAGCCATTAGCCCGTCCCTTTGAGCCACCATCTTGGGGCCTGTGAGGACCCGCCTGCTGGACTAGTCTCTCTGGGGTCTGAAGCACTGCGGATCCCCATGGGCGGGTCCATCTGGGAGGTGGCCGCAGCATGCTGTGATGTGCAAGAGCCTTGCTCCTGCTCCCGACTTGCCAATCGGGTCACCTCCAAACTGGGAAACTCCCAAGAGCATCATTGGAAGGGAGAAGTGGCCTTTGGGACCATCCATATGGCATTCCCAGCCCATGTGGCTGGCCGAGCGTTTATTTTTTTAGTGTTTTATTGAGACAGGGTCTCGCTCTGTTGCCCAGACTGGAGTGCAGTGTGCAACCTCAGCTCACTGCAGCCTCTGCTTCCTGGGTTCACATGATCTTTCCACCTCTGCCTCACAACTGGCTGGGACTACAGGCACACACCACCATGCTGGCTAATTTTTCTATTTTTTTTTTTTTTTTTGTAGAGACAGGGTTTTGCCTTGGTGCCCAGGCTGCTCTCAGATTCTCAGACTCAAACAATCTCCGTGTTGGCCTCCCAAAGTGCTGGGATTACAGGTGTGAGCCACTGCGCTCAGCCTGGCAGAGTGTTTAGAGTGAAGTTTTGCAGCACGTGATTCATCTGGCAGGGAACCCAGGCCGAGACCACAGGTGACCAGGTCATCCTGTCAGGACAGACATACAGGTGTGATAGGGGAGTGGCAGGCGGAGTTTCAGGACTGCAGAGACTTGACAATTGAGACCAGACATCCCAAACAGTGGCCCAGGGGACAGTCGTGGTCTCCATAGGGATTTCGTTTGTCCCATATGGTTCTGTTTCAACTAGTTGCCAACACTTAACAGCAAGCAGAGTGCAAATAAAAATCTGGATTTCAAGTTTCTTTTAATTATGTCGAGGCCCAACAACACATGGCACCAGTTATCTCCAGCCGGGCAGCGCCCGCCCCTTTAAGGGCCATGGCCATGGCTGACGTGCTCAGCACTTGCCACCAGCCCTCCACTAACTGCCACTGAAGCACAGCTAAGGTGCCTGCCACTTCTCATGTGCCAGAAGTGTTCCGAGTGTTCTTCGCTCTTCCGACAGCCCTGTGGGTGAGTTTGGACTCAGTCCAGGCCCTGCTTTATAGCCCTCATGTCATTCCTGAGTCTCAGACCCCCAGTCCTGTCCACCCTGCAGCTGCACTATTGTACAACTGTGTCTTCCCAACACCTCAACACCTTATTTCAGGTTCTTGGGAATAATGTGAATTGGGTAAGGCACAGGTGACTTCCTTTCAACAAGTGAGGACACAGGTTAAACGCATGAAGGCGGGTGCCAGTGCCCTAATAGGACACCAGCGGAGGGGACAGCATCTGGGGCAGAAGATGAACAGATGAAGAACAGGCCAAGGTAATGAAGCTGGACAGTGGTGGGCAACTAACAGCTTGGGTCCCCATGCCAAGCCAAGCAGGAGTCGCATGGCTCTGTGGCCTGCCAGATTTGATGAGGCAGGCAGGGGACCTATCCCACTGATGTGGGCTCATGGGAGAAGGGGTAGGCCTGCCTTTTCTGTTGAGTTAGCTCTCAACCCCGAACAGACGGGTGGTCAAGAGCATGGGGCAGAGGAACGGTGTGGGCAGGGTGAGGGCAGGAAGAGGGGCCCCGTGGAAGGACCCTGGAGGAAGAGTCCCTTTCCTCCAGGACAATGTGCTGGCAGCTGAGAGGATGTGTGACTGAGGGGTAAGACCCCACTGCATGGGTCTGAATCTCAGCTCTGGTATTTAGGAGCTTTGTGACCTCAGGCAATGTACTTTGACACTCTGTGCCTCAATTTCCCCTCTCGTGAAGTGGGGATGATAAGCTGTTATGAGGATGACAGAATGGTGCCTATAGGATGACCATTATTATTACTTCTGGGGGACCATGGGCTACCTTAGGGTAGCGTAAGGCTGACAGAGAGGGAAAGAGGGCGGGGGATGGGGACTGAAGGGATAAGCGCCCCAAACCCTTTATGGCTGTGTAACAATGTGGCATGGCAGTTTATTCCTGCCTCCATCCCCACTACACCACGCTTGTGCACAGCATGCCTAGGAACAGGGTCGGGGCGGGAGGAAAATGCATTTGCAGTGGAGGCAGCTGTGATGAAGAGGAAACCTTGCTAGGGGACCTGGATTCCAGTGCCAGCTCTTCTGCCCACTGCCTTTTCTCCCCATGCCTTCCTGGGAGTTTCTGTTTGGAGGTTGGGCCAGTTGGCAAGTTGGAAGCAGGATCAAGGGCTTCCCCTCCACATCACAGCACCCTGTAGCCACCGCCCAGAGGGATCTGCCCAGGGAACTGGAGTGCTTCAGGCCCCAAAAGGTGGAGAAGCAACAGTTGCTACCGGCCAGGTGTGCACGCTCTCTGGATCTTCCATCCTCATGCTTCAGATGGAGAAGCCCCTGCCCATTTCTCCTCCCTGCACATTGATGTGATGATCCAGGGCATGTGGCTTACACAGCTGGGGAGTGACCAGCACAGGCAGCCACTCCTGCTGTCCCTGCGGGACCTGCTTTGCAGTGCTTGGCTGTGCCTGTGAGGCCAGGCCAACCCCCACCCATCTCAAGAAGGCAGGAAAGCTGGGCTCTTACCATCTCCCCCTTTGGTCCCGGGTGGCCCTAGAAGGAGAAGAGGGTGAGTACCAGGTGTGCTGTTTGTGGCCCAGATGTTCCACCCCCTGCCCCTGTGCCCCTCCCTGCCCCCCATGGCCCTCCCTGTCCCCCATGCTCCTCCCTGCCCCCGGGCTCCATTTGTGCCTTCTGGCTTGTGTACTCCTTCACCCAGTCCCTAAGGCCAGGTTATTTGCTCACTGCCCCTCACTGGGCCTCACTGGCAGCTGCCTGCCCTTCAGAGAGCAGAGGTGGGGGTAGTCTCCTTGGACCGCGACCCTCACTCCATCCACATATCCAGGGTAGTTTTGGGGGATCCCTGGCCTTGTGACGTGAGTGGATATGGTTGCCGGTGCCCCTCGGCTGCACTTAGCTTGCTGGACTTTAGCTGGGGAGTGACTGGGCGGGACTAGAGTCCCTCAACTGAGAGAGGCAAGTGGTGGGGCCAGGCCTGGCTGTGCGTGGGGCTGCATTCCATCCACCCTGAGGGCTTTGGATGAGTCATGCTCCCTTCCAGCTGACTTGCTTCTAAGACTGGGGAGGGGACTCCTTCCCCCCATGAACATTTGTGTCAGGGGACCAAGTCCAAAGGATTGAAATGAATGAAGAGAGGAGCTATTGTGGGAAGCAGTCTTCACATGGACTTGAGCACATGTGTAGGGTCTCAATCAGGGAGGAAGACCCTGATCTTGAGGACAGGGCCATGGGAGACACAGGTGCTACGGAGCAGGGGCAGGCGTGTGCACAAGTGGACAGGCTCCTCAGACCAGCGATTTCACCTCTGCAGCCTCCACTCTCCCCACTGCCTCCTGGCCTCACCCCACCCCATCCAGATTCACCCATTCCAGGGATGGCTCTCTCCTGGACTCTGAAAGCCAAGCTGAGCAGCTGGGGACCTGTGCCCTTGGGAAGGCCACTGGGGTCAGGGGTAACTTAGAGGGCCCCTCCTCCTCCCACTAGTGACAACCTTCAGCCCCAGGACTTTTCTTTCTAAGGAAAGCATCTTCCAATGAGCCAGGGTCTTGCAGAAGGACCAACAGATCCAGGATCATTGACCTGCAGTGAGGAGGAGCGGGTCCACTTACCGGTTTGCCGTCCAGCCCAATGGGACCCTGAAAGCAGAAAGGCCAGATGTAAAGACTAAGCATCACACGCCTCCTCCCAAAGAGGCTGCCTGGGCAGTGGGGAAAAGCACAGATTCTAGATTCTGAGAAGTTGGAGCTCAAGACCCTGCTTGACCACATACGTGTTATGTGACCATGGGTAAGCCTAGGCCTCAATTTCCCATCCCGAAATGGGGTTGAGAGAAATAGAACGTTCTACGAAGGGTCCTTGTGAGGAGGGAATGAAATGCTGGATGCCAGGGGCACAGCTCAAGAGAGAACCCAATGGGTGGCCTCCCCATTAATGTCAAAGACGTCACCCTTGCCCTGAGTGCAGAGGGGGTGATGTGTCCCTAGAAATCAGGGTCTGGTCTGCACTGAGGCTGGGAAAAAAGGGGAACTGCTCCCTCTGCTCTGCCTGTCAGCACCTATCTTAGGCCCCATAGGCAGAGGTCAAGGACACCCAGATGGCCACCCCTCTGCCAGATCCCCCACTCCTGGATCTCCTCTCAAAGCCCGGGCACAGGCTGAGCCGCAGGGTGATCTCCTGCAGGGCATCATCCATTCCATATTCCCAGGTCATGCTGGGGTTTATCAGCCTGTGACTTCACTCACATGGAGCCGGTCCTGCTGCCCCTTGTTTGTATATTTGCTTCCCTGCATTTATTCCTTGCACCATGATCTGACTGCTGAGCTACCGTCCTGAGTTGGTGTCCATGAATGGCTGCAGAAGCAGGCCCTTAATGACCAGGGTTTGGGAGGGAAAGAGTGGAACCAGGGCTGAACTCAGATGAGGTTTAACCTAATCAGGCTTACAGACCACCTGGGACACAGCTAACTTCAGCCTTCTCCACTTACCGGAAATCCAGGAAAACCTCGAGTGCCTGGTTGACCCTGGGAAAAAAAAAACAGGAGACAAGTAAGGTTGAGCGAGGATGAGGCACAGCCAATTCCTAGCCCTCCAGGTCATCTGTGCTCCCATCCCTCTCACTCTGTGTGATCATCCTTGGAGGACACTCACTGTGGTTAGCAGATTGGGAGGGAAGATGGAGAATGAGGAAATGGAACATCATAGGAAATGTCCTTCAGGGGCTGGGGGTGGGAAAGGAACAGGAAAGGGCCAGTGTCCTTTGGGTCTACTTCTGGAAAGTGGCCCTGGAGAGCTCCTCACCACTGTGGATGTGTGGCTTGTAAACAGATGCATGGGACAGTAAGGACAGCAGACACTCAGCCCACAGCACTGAACTCCTGGACTGCGATCGTCTAAGCGCTTTTTTATTTACATGGTCATTGCTCATAGCCACTTATCTAAGGATGGTTTGGATATCAGAACTTGACCTTCAAAATGTGTGTTTTTAGCTAGAAAAGGTCAGATTGCTCCTGTTCCTTTCACGCTGGCCAGGAGGCTTCTCCTAGCAGTTGGGCAGTATCTGAGCATCCCCTAATCTTTGTGGGATGCAGAGCAATCCAAGCTCATTTTCCTGGAGGTGCAGAGGGCAACACAAATAAATATTTAGGGTGGTGACTAGAGGCAGGTTCACTGGTCACAGTCCAGTGGTTTATGATCAAGATTCAGGACAAAGGGGATGTGCTGAGATTAGAAACAGCACAAGGCTGTGATGATGCAGGGCTGAGGAGGGATGACCAGGTGGTCAAGGGTGATGGAGAGCTAAGAAACGTGAGTCTTGTCGCCCCCTTTCTCAAGGACCAGCAAGGGCTCCCTTCTACCATGTTCAAGGCCATACCTCAATTCCGTCCCGATCAACCATGTTAAGTTCCTTTCCTGCCACATATTTTTTCCGTCTATTCTCTGCTCAGACACACTGGCTCACCTGCCGTTCACCAAACAAACATGCCCAGTTCTCAGCTTGGGGTCTCCTTTGGCTGACACGGTCACAATCTCTTCCCAAGCATGGGCTTTCTAGACTGGCAGACTAAATTCTAATCCTGCCTCCAACTATGGCTGTGGGACGCTGAGCATGTTGTCTAAGCTCCCAGAGCCTCAGTTTCCTAATCTATAATATAGAGATAACCGGAGATAACAGTATAAACCCATAGGATCATCAAATTCAATTTAATTATGTTTGTAAAGGCTATTGAAATGGTAGCTGCCATCATCAGACACTTGTTGAATTGAACTAAACAGGGAAGCTCCAGAATAGAGCAAGGTTGCTGTTGCGCTCAATATGTCCTGGGATCAATGAAAGTTAGTCCTTGTCAAGCAGCAAGTTTTAGAATCAGATCCTCTCCAGAAAATTTCTCTGGATTCTTCGGCTATGATCCTAAAACATCTCCAGGCTGCTAGGGTCCTCCTTGAAGCCATGAACACAAGTGCCCAGTGGCCTGTGCAGGGAACACATCAGCTGGGTGGGATGGGCACCCTGCCATCAGGGTGGGTGCCCTGATTCAACAGGGAGCGAGCTGAAGTCTCCCGCAGGCTTAGGATGGGCTTGTGGCAGCCATCCAAAAGGGCACAAGGGAGGAGATCCCATTCATCTATCGGAAGGGGCCCTGGCTTTTCTCCTCTCAAGGATAAGTGATGCTAAGAATAGACCAAGGAGAAAACCTGGAAACCATGCAATGTCATCTCTGAAACCTCCCAGTGTAAACTTTCTGTAAACTGCCCTGCACACCAAGCAGCCTGAAGGAAAGGTCAGGAGGAGAGGATTCCAAGAAACATCTTCAGTCCCACTAGGGACAATGTTTACATGGTAGGGATAATCACACAGTTTGCTGATTACAGAGCCCGCCCTGGGTAGCAGGATGCATCTCCCCAACCCAGGACCAAATCCAGGACTAACCAAGGCTTTTTCAGAGATCTTGGGAAGGCTGTTGTCATGGACCAAGTGGAAACTGGGACGCCACTTTCTGGAGAGGCTGGGCCTGGGAAAGGCATTTGGGGAGACTTGGAAATAGACTTTAATTTATATATCTTCAATTACATCCTGAGGTTAGACATCGCTTCCAGTGTTTCTCTGCCTGTTTCTCTTTACCAGTGTTTTCTGCTAGGTTGTTTTTTTCCTACTGAGTGAAGCTCTTTGTCAAAAATAAGTCTCTGATAATCATATATGTGGTGACTATTCTTTCTAATTTGGCATTTGTCTTTGATTTTGTTTCTGGTATGTTTTATATTTATATAGACAAACTTAATCTTCTCCTATGGCATTTGGGTTTTATGCTATGTTGAAAAGGGCCTTCCCCTGTTCAGAATTATAAAATGTTCACTCATGCTTTGTCTTTGTATTTTATGGTTTCCGGTTTTATATCTAAATATTTTGTTCATCTGGAAATTATTCTGATATAACAAATAAATTGGCATTAATAATAAAAAAACAACTGTCTTTCATTTTACCTTTTTCTAGGTGGCTTATTGGTTGCCCCAGCATCATTTGTTGAACAATTGATCTTGCTTTTCCTATTGTGAAATGAAGCCTTTATCACGTATCAAATGGACACATGCATTTAGCTTTATTTCTGGCCTCCCCATTCTGTTCAGTTCATATGTTTATTTAGATTGTCCTGTTTTTATAATACATTTTGGTATCTAGAATTTTGTTGAATTCCCAATCTCATGAAAAATGGACAGAGATTAGGATCACTTTAAATGCATAAAAATAGATGCATTTGTACATTAATTCATGGTTTACTATTACACCCTTCTGTACCAGAACAAGGGAAATACACTTTACATTGATCTCTGAAATCTTCTCCCTTAATTCAAAGTCAGAACAAAAAGGGAGAGAAAGGGGTCCCCACTTCTGAAAGTGGACCCCTACTCCTTTCTGCCTTTCTCCTACTAGCAAATACACAGACAGAAGGTTCTTGTTGGGAAAAACCCACCAGGATGTCCCCCTTCTCTTATTTGACCCGAGAGATGGTCAGTTATGTCTCTGCCCAGGGGCTGCCTCATTCTACCTCCCTCACTCCAAGTCAGTACCAACGAGACTCCATGCTGGTAAACGTTTAACCATTAGCTGGGTGGGGGAGGGTGGAGAGGAGAGCCCCACATTGCACAGCATTTGCCAATGTCTGTGGTGTAAATACACCTACCATAGCTGATTTCAAGCTACCAACGTGAGGTCACTGAACACAGTTGGGAGGTGGTGAGGTGTGCATGGTCCACTCTTGCCAGGGATGGCTCGAGCCACTGAGTGATGAGGTCAAAGTCAGAGGCTGCTGGGCCTGGTTAAGATTCCTGGTACGATAAGGAAGCCAGCTCCAGCAGACCACATGCTCTGACCTCCAGCAGATGACTGTTCCTGTTGGACATTATGGCATCTCTAAGTCATCATGCTCAAATTAAACTCATCTCCCGTGGTAGAGGGGATGAGTTTCCTTTACCAGGGGAGATGAGTTTAATTCCTTCTGGGGAAGGGGACTCTGTTACTCAAGTCAGAAATGTGGCATCATCTTGAGCTCCTGCTTCTCCCTCAATCCCCGTTTTTTATCATCACTAAATCCTCCGATTCCATCTCCAGAACAGCTTGCAAGTCCAGCCCTCCTGGCCAGCCCACCAATTCTACTCTAATCCAGGACTTGGCTGTTGCAAGTGCCTTCCAGCCAGCCTCCCACTACAGCCTCTTCTAAATATGCTGCATGCTGGGCCTTCTAAAATCTTTTAAACTGCAAATCTGGCTATGTACTACATCAGCCTAACACAACCTACAGGCTCCTCACACCCTCAGGACGAAGCCCAACCCCTGACCATAATGTAAGGGCTTCTCACTGGTCCTTGACTGCAGTTATTAACCCCTCCTCCAGGAAGCCTTCCCTGCCTGCCCTCCTCCCCCAAGTCTGGTGCCTCCTCCTTGTCCCACAGCTCTCTAACCATCCCCTGGCTTAGTACTTGCTTGCTAGGCTCTCCCACTAGATTGTGTACCCAGAGGGCAAGCTGACTGAGGTCAGGTTTCCACTGTCTACACAGCACCTAGCAGGCACTGGGCTCTTACGAAATATGAATGGAGTGAATTACACACTCGGTAGGTGTGTCTACCTGGTGTGGGGTGGCTCCTAGTGGATGAAGACTGGAAGTTCAGATATCTCCTGGCCCCAGAAGAGAAGCTGGGGAGCTCAGAGAGGGAATGGGCCCCCTTTGAGATGGGGTATTTCCTAGGACTGGCAGATCCCCTGCCCAGGGCCTGCTGGGCTTGCCAGCATCTTGGGGATCCAGCCTCCCCCTCGGTTTAATGAGGCTCCCTTAAAGTCAACGTGCCCCAACACTGTACTCCAGCTTGCTCCATTAGAAAGTGTACCCTCCTCCAAAGTGCTTGGAGGGATCCCCCCTTTGCTTGGACTATTTATCAAGCTCCAAGAGGGGAGGCAGGTGGCCCCTGAGAGTGGCAAGTCTGGTTCTTATTAGCAGCATCTATCCTGGACCCTTCCTGGCTGAGTGGAAAGCCAGACATTCTCCATCATCCCTGGCCGCCACCAAGGGCGCCCACTTGACCACTACTCATTAATGACTAAATGGACTCTTTGTTTTCCCCTATCCCTGCTCCCGTTAGCTCAGAGCAGCTTCCTGGAAGGAGCTGAGGGGGTTGCCCCTGCTGTCCAGTGGGGAATCAGCAGGGATGGCTCCAGCCACTGGGTGATGGGGGCCAAAGTCAGAGGATGCTGGGCCCGGTTAAGATCCCTGGTATGATAACACCTTTTCTGGTGCCAATGTAGGCACCTGCCTGGACGATTTTCTTTCCCCTGAAGTAAATATCCTTTCAAACAGTAGCATTTCAAACACGGAACAGGGTGTTGAGGCAAGAATGCAGGCTTTGAGATGAGGCGGACCTGGCCAAACCCAAGCTCGGGAACTTACTAGTTGGGTGACCACAGGTTAGGAAACTGTTTTCTCCTCTGTAGAATGGGCTGGTGGGTCCTGCCTTACAGCTGTGAAGGAGACCTACTATGTGATAAGTGCCTGGGAGACAGACGCTCTCACTGCTCCCTGAACAGAAGGTGCTTTTCACCATTCGAGTCAAACCCAGCGCAGTAGGTATGTTTCTGATTAGGTATGTGTGCTGGGCTGAGGCCAGGAGGAGCAGAGGCCAACCATTGCCCTGAACAACTCTCCAGCAGGGGAGTTTTCAGTAACTTTTCGGTAGCCTGTTGACATAATTTGCCGAAAGCGTGTTAGAGGATCAATGGGATCCACACAACAGAACATCTGTAGCCAGACCGGAAGGCAGACAGAGATGGCGGCCCAGGGTAGGGCCTGTGTGCTGTGTTATTCCCTGTCCTCCCAACACACCAGGCTTGGTCCTCTCTGTTCCAACCGGGAGGACTGACTGTCTTCTGTTTCTATGACCTTCCCATCGCCACCTTCATCAGGACCAACTCGGCCAGGGCATTGGCGCTGCACCTCCTCCAGTACACAGGAGGCCCGAAGCCCACCGGGGCAGCTGCTGTGTTAGCCCAGGAGCACCTGCCACAGTGACACCAGGCCCGGCCAGTCCATGGTGGCAGCAGGGGTCAGAGGCAGACTGGAGCCACATGGCCTGGCTGAACGCTGAGCTAGCAGTGTGGCCACACGCCAGCCCTGTGGCTTTGGGCAAGTCACTCAGCCTCTCTGTGCCTCAGTTTTCTCATCTGTGAAATGGAGGCAATCACAGTCCCTATGTCATGGAGTTTTTATGAGGATTAAGTGAGTGAATATGCGTAGAAGTCTTAAGATAAGGCCGCCACAGAGGAAGTGTGAAGCATGGTCATTATGGTTTGAGCCCAGAAGAAAACCTTGCTGTGAAGGCCATGTCTACTCAGCCCTGGACCGTCCAAGTGCTGCCTCTGACCCAGCCCCTGACCTGTCTGCCAGCCTGGCTCTCCCATCCCTGCTCTCCCTCCCAAACCACCTCTCAGCTCCCTGCACTGGCCGCAACACTTTGCTTGGCGTTCAGCTCACCGTGGGCCCCTTCTCTTGGATGTAACTTAGCCATTTGTTCTCTGCCCTCTCTCCCTCTGCGTGGGTCTCAGTCTCCCAGAGGCTAGCCCTCTGCTCCCCTCCCTCACTGAGCATAGCGGGTCTGGAAAAGTCCAGAAGGTGGAGTCAGCAGCCTGTTGTCCTGCTTTGGTGAGGCCAGGGCTCCTCGGTTCTAATCCCACCCAGCCTCTACATGGGAGACCTCTTCCCCTCTCTGAGCCTCAGTTTCCCTTTCCTTTCTGAGAGGGCTTCGTTAGACCATTTCCAGGATCCTTTCACCCTGACACGTGGTGATTTTATTACAGCCCTGTGGCTCAGCACTCTGGGAAAATAACAAGCCCTTCCTCCCACAGCCTTGATATCTTACTGGCCTCATCACCCACAGCCCCTTTTCAGTTCCTAAGGAAGCACACTGAGGGGAGCCTCACAGGTTTTCTCAGGCTCCCAGCCAAGGGGTGGAGGGTGCTATGAACACACAGGACCCAGCACTGCACACAGAGGTGTCCTAGAGGGTGAGTGTAGGCGGGGCCTTTGGCAAGACTAGGAGTACATGCCTGGGCCAGTGAACCCCAACTCGTATCTGCTCTGTGGGCTTCCAGAAACAAGGGCTTGTTCCCCGGAAAGCCGGATCACCCCATCCAGAGGAGAGCGAGCCCTTTCTCCCTTCTGTCTGTAAACAGCAGGGCCGCCTCGCAGCTGCTGTAGCTTCGTGGCTAGAGGGCAGGTCCCTCAGAACCTCCCAGGGGGCTGTAATTTAGGTATATTTAGTCAGGCCACTTTCCCTAACATCAACATCGGCACGGAGGCCCGGTTGGGCTGACCACATCACATGCGGTGGCCTCCCCACCCAGGGGCACAGCCGCCCCTCGCTGTTCCCTCATCCCCAGCCTAAAAGCCCTTTACATCAACTCACCCATCCCCCCCACACCCCGAAGAAGAGCAAAAACAACTTACAGGTGGGCCGCGGGGACCAATGATGGACAGCCCAGCGTCTCCGGGGGACCCCTGCAGGGAGAGAGGAAGGGGGAAAGGGAGCGAGGAGCAGGGAGTATGGAGAAGAGGAGCCGGAAGGAGAGGAGCCAAAAGGAAGGAGCTGGCAGGGGGCGGGAGCAAGACGCTGGCCCCATGGGACAGCAGGAGAAGGCGGCCAGGGGATGTGGGGGGCCACGAGGGGATCAGCAGAGGCAACATAGAGGGCATGGGGGCACAGAGGGAGCATTCGGGAAGGGTTGGGAAGGGCAGGTAGTGGGGGGAAGCAGCAGGAGGGAAAGGAGAAGAGGTGTCAGCGAGAGCATAGGACATGGTGTTCCGGGGAAACAGGGCGGTGGGGCCCCAGGCCCGGGAAGCAAGAAGGATAGGATCCATTGGAGGGGCGGGAAACAGGGAGGCACAGGGAGAGAGGGGAGACTTAGCAAGGGTGCCCAGTCCCGAGCCTCTCCCCGGCCCAGCCCAGGACGCTTTCCAGCCCTCCAAATACCCATCTGGCTGCACACCGTGTGGCTAGTGAGCAGGGATCTGCCTGAGAAGGGGGCTGTGAAAACAGAGGGTGGGGACATAGGCAACATGTGTGCTGTGTGGACCCAGCATCTCTGACCCTGAAAGGCTGAGCTGCCTCACATTTCCGAGTCCCAGTTTCAGAATGACATGGAGGGGTGCAGGTTGGGGCAGAGTTGTCAGCTCTGAATGGCAGGCAGAAGCTGCTGAATGAGGAGCTCAGAGTGCTGTCAAGGGTGGCTGAGCTAGCTAGACAAGTGCCATGTGTATCCCCAAGTTCAAGGTCTTACTCTGCCAGGAAAGTCACAAAACCTCTCTGAGCCCACACCTCCTCTGTGAACAGGGATGCTGAGAGCGGCTCTGCTGCCCTTATTTTTCAAAACGCATTTTGGAAAATGTCATGCCTCACATGCAGGGGAGGTGTGATTTCAGATTAGTCCCTGTTTATGTCATGGGAATGATACAATAATTTTTATACAAGGCAGTGTAGTGTCATGGTTAAGAGCCAGAATGCGGCTGGGCACGTTGGCTCACGCCTGTAATCCCAACACTTTGGGAGGCTGAGGTGGGTGGATCATGAGGTCAGGAGATCGAGACCATTCTTGCTAATGTGGTGAAATCCCATCTCTACTAAAAATACAAAAAAAATTAGCCAGGCATGGTTGCATGCACCTGTAGTCCCAGCTACTTGGGAGGCTGAGGCAGGAGAATCCCTTGAACCCAGGAGGCGGAGGTTGCAGTGAGGCAAGATCATGCCACTGTACTGCAGCCTGGTCGACAGAGCGAGGAAAAAAAAAAAAAAAAAAGCAGCCAGCATGCCTGGGTTTGAAACCCAGTTCTGCCAGCCACCAGCTGTGTGACCTTGGGAAAGTGACTTAACGTCCCCATGCCTGTTTTCTCTTCTGTGAGGATACAGATAGCACCTGTCTCATAGGGTGGATGTGAAGACGTCATGCGATAATGTAAAGAACTTAAAACAATGCGGTCCATGGAAGGGGTGATGTGTCTTTCTCCTCGGTGGTTTAGCCCCTGCCAATGTGGAGCTAACAGTCTAGTTCCATTTTGGGGACAAAATAGCATGGTAGCTAGGGGCCCTAGCCTTGGAGTCAGACACACTGGGGCACCTCTCCAGCTCTGCCACATTCTAGCTGTGTGACCCAGAGCATGTGACTTGGCCTGTCATCCGTGCCTCATGTAAATGGGAATATTAAAGCTTCCCTAGAAAGGTTGTCAGTGCTAGTTTGGAAAACAGACAACAACATACTTAAAACTGCACCTGACACAGTTTGTGTTTAACACATGGCAGCTGTATTGTAATTGTTGAGGTTGTTATTCAGGAGATGGAAAACTACTGCAGAAAGGCGGCATTACAGGCAGGGAAGTATGGAGCCGGGCACCGGGGGGCCTGGTTTGGAGCCCCTGCTCATCACGATTGCTGTGCGACCTTGGGCGGGCACTGGGCCTTCATTGGGCTTCAGATGAGCTTCCTCATCTGTAGGGTGAGGTTGTTAGAAGTGTTGTGCTCGGCCAGGTGTGGTGGTTCACACCTGTAATCCCATCACTTTGGGAGGCTGTGGAGGGTGGAACAACGTGGTGAAACCCTGTCTCTACTAAAAATGCAAAAATTAGCTGTGCATAGTGGCGGGTGCCTGTAATCCCAGCTACTTGGGAGGCTGAGGCTTGAACCCAAGAGATGGAGGTTGCAGTGAGTTGAGATCGTGCCACTGCACTCCAGCCTGGGTGACAGAGCGAGACTCTATCTCAAAAAATAAAAAAAAGTTGTGCTCAGAAATCTCTCAAGAACTCCCCAGGGCTGATGTTCCAGGATGGCTTCTGGGGTTATGACTTCTCAGGGGTACTCTATTCCATAACCTCGGGGGTCCCCCTGGGCAGTTCCAGCTACACTAAATTGCAATTGGCCAGAGCGGTGAGGCCACATGCCACCAGGGCAGGGCAGGGAGACCCACTCAGCTGGGAAAGCTGGGACCGCCGCCCAGGAATCCCAAGACTGCTGCCCGATGGTATGGAAGCTGTTAGGAAACAGGGCCGTGAGAGGCTGTGAGGGCAGCAGGCCCTGCCAGCACCCTCTGCTGGGGCTTTCATCGGGGGAGGAGGGTGGAGAGGCTCCCCGTCAAGAGTCCACCTGGAGGAGGTGGCTGGGTGCAGGGCAGAAGGGGAAAGCGTGGACTCACCTTCTCGCCTGGTTGACCCTTTACTCCCTGGGGCAGCCACATGCAACACAGGGTGCAGGAAGAGAGGAGGAGGGAGAGAAAAAAGGGGATGAGAAAGAGGCACCCACCCGAGAATCCGTGTTCATGGCACAACAACCAAACAGAAGAAATCACCGTGAAATAGAAACAAAACAAAACACAGATGCTGACACATGACAGGTCCACGTCCAACAAGCACAGCATGTGGCATGTGGAAGCGGCCGCTCCAGATGACTGAGAAACAGTGGCTGGGGCTGCAAGAGGCCCTCTTGAGGCATGTGTGTGCGCGCGCACGTGTGTGAGAGCGCGCGCGCACACGCCAGATGATGGAAGAGAGACAGAGATAGAGATAGAGAAAAGAGAACAAGATCCCACCTAAGTCAAGAAGTCTTCCCCAGCTGGGCACCGTGGCTCATACCTGTAATCCCAGCACTTTCAGAGGCTGAGGAAGGTGGATCATAGGGTTAGGAGGTCAAGACCAGCCTGACCAACGTGGTGAAATCCCATCTCTACTAAAAATACAAAAACAATAGCCGGGTGCAGTGGCAGGAGCCTGTAATCCCAGCTACTCAGGAGACTGAGGCAGGAGAACAGCCTGAACCCAGGGAGTGGAGGTTGCAGTGAGCCAAGATTGTGCCACTGCACTCCAGCCTGGGAGACAGAGTGAGACTCCATCTCAAAACAAACAAACAAACAAACAAAAAACAGAAATCTTCTCCAGAAGCCACGGCCCCAGCTGGTCAGGGTACTCTGAGGTTGGGGTGGGGATGGGGGAGAACTGCCCCAGGGCTGTGTTGTGACACTGGTGTCTAGGAGGTTTGCATGTCCAACTGAACACCAGTAACAAAGCTTTGCCAAGCTACACAAGCCCAGAGTCCCTGGGGCTGGCCAGGCCAGGTGGAGGGAGGGGTCATGGAGAAACACAGGAGGCCAGAAGGCAGGACACACACCTCTGGAAGGATGGATCATGGGTCAGTGAGGCAGCAGAGGTGGGTTAGGAGGCCAAGGGTCCCTTGCAATCACAGTGACCAGTAGATGGACAGTCCACCCTGCTCTGGACAGGCCAATGACGCCACCTCTGGTAAACCCCAGGGATGACCCAGGCATGTCACAACTACTGGCCACCTCACTCCTAATCATGTGGCTCATGCCAGGACCCCTCCTGGGCAGCCAAATGGGCCCATTGTCACATTTAAAATAGCACCAGCAGCCACAGTGGCTTGAAAATAGGCCTGCCAAGAAGGAATTGGGGAGACCTCCTGCAGCTCCCTTCCTTCCCCCGCTGCTATGGGGCACAACACAGCTCAGGGGGACACTTCCTGGGGGGAGGTGTCCACAGGGCCCAAGGGAAGGAAGGGGAGGCCCGGAGCTGCCACTTTGCATTTTGCAGCTGTGGGCTGGTCTCTGCACTCAGGGAAGAAGCTCCTGAAACTTGCCTACTGGGAGCAGGGACTTTGGGGTCCCACAGTTGGCTTAGGTACAAAACCCAACTCCACCCTATCTCAGGTGCAGTGAGTCTCAACAGCTTCATCCGGAAGATAGGTGCTTAGAGGGCAATGGTGGCTCAGATGCCTGGCTCAGGCCATCAAGAAAGGATGGCTGAATCACATTTCCCTGCTCTGTACAGAACCTCTGACAGCTTGGGTGGACTCAGGATCTGGAGTTCGAGAACGGAAGAGAAGAGACAGGGCTGGGCAGCAATTTCACTATGCTCTGGTCTGGGAGGTGGTGGGAGAGCTTCATGTGGGGCGGCCCAGGGCTCCCAGCCTCTATGCCTTGATAGACAGGCCTTGAGTGGGCCCTGGAGAGAGCTCTGTGACACGGAACACTTGCCCTGAACTCTAAAATATCCCAGGCCTCTGGGGCTTCATTCTAAGGATCAGACCCTCCTCAGAGCTGCACGGCCAATGGGGGTGGGTGGTGAGGGGTGAGATCCTAATATTGTCAGGATCAAGAGCACAGGTTTAGAGTTGGGCTGTCTGAGTTCAGATTCCTGCTCAGCCACTTCCTGTGTGACCTTGGGAAGGACATTAAGCTTCTGAGCCTCAGTTTCTCATCTGAAAAGTGGGGGTGGAAACTGTGCCTACCTCATGCAGTTCTTGTGAAGCCTGAGTAAGCTAACATATGGAAGGATCTTAGCACAATGCCAGCAAGCAGTTAGTGCTAGCAAGGGTCAGCTATCCATCCTCTGAATGCCTTTTCTCAACCTCTGAGCACCAGCAGGCTCACACCAGGCGTGCAAATTCACACAAGGATGCCACACTCACTCCTAGAGCCAATCCCATGAGATGCTGAGGCAAAGCTGAGAATGACATGGGGGTGGTCAGGAGTCCTGGGGAGCCAGGTGGAGGCGGAGGCTGACGGCTGATGGGAAGTTAGGGGTCACAAAGGGAGAGCAGCTGAGGCCATGTCCCAGCTGAGGCTGGGGAGTGGTGAGGGTGGGGCATGGCCATCACTACCTTAGGCTACTTATAGCCCTTCGCAGACACTCAGGGCCTGCTGCTGGCCTTCCCATTCCTGGGAAACACCCTCTCCATCAAACATTCTCATCTCCCCTTCTCCATCTTCATTTTCCAGCAGGAAACATGGAATGTTTTAACTCTCAGGCTCCTCGTGAGGACTTGGAGGTTCCACCTGGAACCACGCCCTGTCTTCAGCATCCCTTAGTGCATCTCTGTGTACAGAGAAGTCCTCTGGGAACGCTGGCTCCACCGAGGGGTAACTGCAGGAGCAGCTGTGCATCTGAGGGTGAACTGCCAGCTCTGGGGGACGGAGTGGGAGTCCTCCCAGTGTCGAGGCTCAGTTTGTCCCTCCCCCGGTTCCCAGCAGGTGACTGGCAAAGAGCTTTGTTCATGCAACTTTGTTGGGGGTTTCCTTTGCTGTGGCAGCTCTCTGGAGAGTAAAGCCATATTGTGGGGTCTGAAGGACTGGAATAAAACTTCCCTTCTCCTTCCTTGTCCCTCTCTGAAGCACACTGGGGTCTGGGGAAGGGAAAGTGCTGACCCTCTCCTTGGGGCTGGGGTAGACAGCACATTGCCATTGTTTAGACCACAGGCCAGCACGGAGAAGCAAGCAATGGCCACCTGAGCAGGTGCAAACGGGCTAACTCACCACACGTCCAGGCATCCCAATGGCACCTTTGTCCCCCTGATGATGAAGGAGGCAGAATCAATCAGATATATGGTTGGAACCAGGCTAGCATGTGAACGATCCCATAGGCAAGCTGCGCACCTGATTAGGGCACAGCTAATCCCGTTTGCAGCTGGGACGACACCCTGTATGATGCCCAAGCGTCATGTACGTGCTCCCTATACAGCCCCCAAACATTATTCAGCAAGTGGCCACTGCTATGACTATACTTCGGCATGAGTGTTGTGGAAAGAGCACTGAAGGAGGAGTCTGGTCCCAGGCTGGACCTCAGTTTCCCTATGCCTATTCAAGGCCCTTGCTCCCTTAGAATTCACTGTTGCATCAATTCCAGCAATGGCCAGGATGTGCCTCATCTTTATCACGCACAACTTCAAGGCCCAGAGTAGGGTGATTGGCAGTTCCCATGTGATAGAAGGTGACTCACTTTCCTCGGTCTGCCTCTGCCAGGGCTGGAGAGCAGTGCTCCTCCCCAGCCCCTGGTTTAAGAAGGCAACAACTGGAGTCCTTCTTCACTCCTCCTTCCTCGCGGCCACCTCCAGTACTGACAGGAAGGACCAAGAGCCATGTGGATTCAGCTGAATCACGAGTTGCAGATGCTCCCAGGGAAATGCTTTGTTTTATAGCCAGGGGTTACATCTTCTCACGCTGGAAATCTGCTTATTAAGTTTTGCTCCTCCCCCTTTTGGCAGAAAATATTTTTTTGCAATCATATGCATGCAGACATCATAAAACCTGGGGCGGGGCCTAGAGTTTGCTATGAGCCGAAGGATGGAAAGCAATAGGGTGTGGAGATGAAGCTGGTTTGTCTGGCCTGCTGGGCAGGAGGGGACTGCATGGGCGTTTCTGAGGCGACTCTGCATCTGCTAACCCCACTGAGGCACAATGCCTTGAGGAACAATGAACATCCACAACGTATGTGGGACATACCTGAGAGAAGCAACCATGGCTGAAATTAGGCTCTTAAAATTCACATATATGGTCAAGAGCAATGGTGGCTTTGAGTACAATGTTCCACTTTTGTTAATGAATGGCAGGGTAGCAGTGCAGATGAGAAGCACCGACTCTTCCCTTAACCTCCTTGAGTGTCAGTTCTGTTGAGTGGGGCGATAAGAGCTTCTCTCTCATGGGATTGCTGGGAAGATGCCATGTGATGCTGTCTCTGAGCATGTGGCCCCTGCCTGGCCTTTGGTGTTAAGTAAATGCCATCTGCTCATGTCAAGCCTAGCACAGCCGTGGGCAGGTAAATTTCATCAGCATGTCTGTATGCCACACCTTTTGCTTTGTGCACCAGGGGCTCACATCCACAGTCTTTCCAAGGGTTATTCCTAGGTCCCTTCACACGGAAGCATCAACAGGACCATGACCCACAGATCTGAAACTGGCTCTGCCTATGAAGGACACCAGGCCAGGGCTGGCCATCGGCTGTGGCAGCCCCATGGTCCACTCACTCTTGGGCCTTTCAGTGATATTTCAGGATGCGTGTTTTGGTTTCTTTTTCATTTCTTTTTTGAAACTAATGCTCTTTGCAGTCCTGGCCATAAAATGCTTGGGTTAGGGATGGGTGTGGAATGGTCAGAGACTGGAAACTATGTGCAGCAGCCCCTGCTCTGTGAATTGTCCCCTAAATGCTTTTTAAAGGTGGATGTTGTAAGAAAAAACAAAGTCTGCCCACATTCCCCTCGGTCATCTGATGTTTCCCCTCCTTGGATTTCACGGGACCGATTCACCCGTCCTCCTCTGCACTGGCTCTTACTGGGAGAGTTTCCATTTGCAAGTCTGAACATTCTCCCATATGCATTTCATTAAGACAGCCACTGCTAGGCATGAATTCTAGAAGCTGCTGGATTCGTCCAAAGATTACAGTATAATCCATGTCTAAAAGGGGAGTCATTAGGTAAGAGGGATGCACAGAAGGGTCTGGAATCTCATGGATGTGGTCTTGGTACAGGGAGACAAGGCAGACTGGTACCAGCTCCAGGCCAGGGTGCCCTTCATACCCGATCCCAGCCCCCTAACCGGCTGCAGCATCTTGCCTGGGTCACTCCCCACCTGAGGTCCCATGGTACATATATCCAGTATTCAACTCATCCATGCCCTGGGCTAGACTCCACAGAGCAATGTCTTAGAAGACTCTAAAGATGGTTTTCGAGGGTGGAGCACAGACCACAAGCAACAGTAGAATGGAATGGTGTGTGACGATACGGGCCTCTAACAGCTCCCCACCCGAAGCTTGAACAGACGGACAAAGTATTTTACCTTTCTGAGTCTCATGTATAAAACAGATTTACAATCATACCCATTTCGCCGAGGTGCTGAACAAGCCAAATGTGTGAGAGGGCATAAATGCAGTGCCTGGCTCCTCTTACGGTTTCAGTAAGAGATGGCTATCTCTCTTGTCCCAGTGTCTCCATGGTTCCTTGGGCACTCCTTTTGCGCTGGGGCTCTTACTAGGAGAGTTTCCATTTGCAAGTCTGAACATTCCCCCACAGTCCCCAGCACTGGGACATGGTAATTGAGGGAAAACAAAGTTTTTGAGTCCACTGTCTTACCAGCAGGCATAGGAGAACAGTAATTTGAATGCCAGCTGCTGTGCAGGGGATAGTCAGTGTGCCCACGGGCTGCCCGTCCCTGCAACTGCCCATGGTAGGGCCGTCAGTCTGGAAGTCAGGCCCAGCTTTGGAAGGGCCTGCATGCTGTGATTTGTCTGCCGGGGGCCCCAGCAGGGGTACTAAGGTCTGCAGCTGAAGATGCCCCAGTAGGGTCCTCTCTAGATATCAAAGGAGGAAGGAGCTGAAGTGGCTTCACTCTAAGCTATACAGATCAGGGATTCTGGAGAACGGCCCGTCACCCAGATTCACCTGGAGAAAAACCAGCCACCCAACCTAGCCAGTCCTCAGAATGAGAAGGAGCACGTAAAAGAGGCGCAAAGGAAAAAAGAAACAAAAATTACTTACTGGGAGTCCAGGCCTTCCAGTGGGACCCTGAAATGAAGAGTGAAGTTGACATAGGTCAGGCAGCGTATTGTAACACCTAACTGTCAAACAGTATCCCAACCAGCTGTGTGACCTCGGCAAACCACTTAGCAAGCCACTTGGGTGTCCCTTGGTGTTCTCATCTTGAAAATGGAAGAATAATCATTACCTATCTGTTAGGGTCAAATGGGAGAATGTGTGTAAAGCTCGGGGCCCAGCTGCTGACATATAGCAAGTGCTAAATAAATGCAGCTACTACCATGATTATTAGAAGAGGACCCGCCAGGGATGTGCGTAGGGCTGGCCTCAGTTTCTCCCTTCAGAGACCTGCTGCCACATCTGGTTTCTCTCCTTCCAGACATCCCGCTTTTCCCATAAGCCAAAGGCAGAACCAGGAGTGGGTCTTGCGGGGTTCCCTGGGAGACAAGTCCATCCTTGAAGGGCTGCTGAGAAAAGTTCAGGCAGCCCCAGGAGTACATCACCCCTTCTAAGCCTTGTTCCTGAGGACATCCCCTCAGCGGTGATGTAGTGACACCTGCCAGTTGGGGGGTCCTTGGGGAATGTGGGGCTACAGACTTCATGGGGACAGGACTGGCCGCCATCCCGGTCATGTTGGTTTTGCTCCGCTGCACTAAAATGTGAGCTCCTGAGGCAGGGACCTCCCTGTCTCATTCACTGTGTCCCCAGTGCCTCGGCAATGTGGAGCTCTCAATGGTCCTCAAGACACATTAACGAAGGAATCAATCTGCCTGCAGATGCCAGAACCTGGCAGCACTCCTGCTTTCCCAGGCCCCCACAAGGACAGCCCAGGCCCTGCGTCCCTAAAACCAGAACTTTAATGCTGAATCAATGCCCTCTTCCTTTCCCTTCTAAACTGCCTGTCCCCTAACGTCACAGAGTGGGCTGAGAAGTGGGGCGGTGACCTCCCAATCCTCCAGAAAATGTTTCTTGGAATGAAATGGGGTAGAAATAAAGTAATAAATTCATTAATAAAAATTCACAAAATCATCATTTCTTCCTTCAAGTGTAATGTTTACCCAGCCACTTGAGAGGCTAAGGCAGGAGGGTGGCTTGAGGATAGGAGATCATGACCAGCCTGGGCAACATAGCACAACCCCGTCTCTTTAAAAAAAAGAAAAAAAATTTTTTTTAAATTAGCAGGTGTAGTCTAGCCTGTAGTCCTAGCCACGTGGGAGGCTGAGGCAGGAGGGTCACTTAAGCCCATGAGGTTGAGGCTTCAGTGAGCTATGATCATACTACCGCACCCCAGCCTGGGTGAGGGAGTGAGACCCTGCCTCTAAAAAAGAAAAAAATTAAACATTTGCAAAAAACCCTTAGGGATCATCTAGGGAAGCCTCATGCTTTCAGGAGCAAATGAATTAATATATTCCAAGTAAAAATACACATATATGTAGCACATACACACACACACTCCTTACAATACTCATATGAGGACGATACTATTTCTAATTTTACAGATGAGGGGACTGAGGCAGAGAGAGGTTAAGTAACTTGCTGAGGTCACACAACAAAAAGTGGCAGTGCCAGGATTTGATTGCAGTTGGTCTGGCCCCAGAGCCCAGGCTCGTAATCACTGTTACACTGCCTCCATAAAAACATAGCAGTGTCTAACACACAGTAAGTGTTAGCTACTATTTCGGCAAGGATCATATTCAACCAGGCCTGGCAGCTGCCGGCAAATATTTCCCTATATTCCTTCAGAGAAAGATACATCCCTATTTCCCTTGGTCATCTGTTTTCAGTCTCACAGTTCCCAGCATTAAGAAATTCTCCCTTAAATAGAATCCAGGGATGGCCAGTGGATGTCAGCTTAAGCACTGACGCCAATGGATTGGGAGTGATTGACTAATGGGTTATGTTAAAAAGCCTCCTAATTGATTAGCAATGTCTGCCAGGGGCATGACGGGTAGGGCAGTGGTGGCTGCAAATTTGCTTCCACCTAAATGGTTTCTGCTGCAGCTTTAATCCATCCTGCACGGTCGTGTTCTACAGGCACTGGCTGAGCTTGTGCCCACAGGAACCTGGGTCTTCCTGTTGGAGGATAGAGCCAGGCCCCAGGATATACCCAGAGGGCAGCAGACAGGCATCTCAGACCCTGTCTCTCTGGTCACCAGCATTCTTCTTTTGCAGGAACCAGAGAGAACACGGCCGAGGAGGTGATTCCTGCCCTGGCCAGTTTCCCATTTCTTCCTCCTCCTGCCTTGTAGTTTCAGCCAGCACTGGGCAAAGGTAAAGAGCTTCTCTTCTGCGCTGGGCTCAGAATGTGCGGAAAGCTACCTGGGCCTTTATCCTTCACTCTGTGGGCAGAGACTGAGACTCATTCCCTCCACCTCATGGGCTCCTTCAGCACAGACCCAAAGGGGTCTGTGAACAGTCCCTGGGTCAGGCCAGCACAAGGTCTCAGAATTCGAAATTCCTATTGAGAGGACCTTCAAGTCAGGCAGGGACTCAGAGCTGCCCTGACCCTGAGGGTTAGGTGTGTGCAGTAGGTCCCGAGATAGGGTGGGAGCAGTTGCGGGCTCTTGTGGCTTCCTTGGAATAAGGCAGGGAAAACCAGCCCATTTCCAACAGGTGAAAGCTCTCTATGGCAGACTTTATTTTGGAAGATGGATAATAGGAATTAAGATCAGACGCCCTAAACATGCCATAATAAATCATCCCTCCTTTCAAGCAATGACATGACAGGCCTTGCCTCACTGTGACATGTCTGGGGGCATGGGATCCTCAGCGTGGTTGCAAGGGCCTTTCGGGGGACAAATGGAGTACTCAATAATGGCCTTTACTAAAAGCTAGGCAGGCGGCTCCCACAGGTACAGATCAAGAGGAAAACCACTATGGAAATAACTTCTCCAAGGAAGGGATGATGATAGGGTTGAATTCAGCAACCTTGAGAAAGATCTGATGTGAGGGCTGGGCCCTTTCAACTCGTATCTCCAGCTCCCCCAGCGCCCTCTGGTCTTTTGTTGGGATATGAAAGAGAGGTGCTCCTGTTCTCTGGATCCATTACTTCAGGGAGGCAGTCTCCTTGGGCTCTTCTCAGGTTCTCTGGAAGGCTCCAGTCCCCGCCCCACCCTGGGCTTCCAAGCGGCGCGCTGCCTGTAATTATGTGCTGGCTCCCAGTCTAGCCGGCTGACCCGCTCTCTCTTACATAACCATGGCCACCGCCACCACCTGCCCAAAGTGGCTTCGCCAGAATGGAGCTGCCCACTCAGGGATGTGGACATGAGTCCTCTGGAGCAGACCACACTTGGAGCCAGCTCGGTGACCTGTTTTCTGAGACCTTTCAAGGAGCAGAACTGAGAAGAGATGACCTCTTTTCTTCTAATACCTGGTGTTTTTTTTTTTTTTTTTTTTTTTTGCAATTTTTTCTTTGGCGCACAAAGGAACTGAGCTAATTAGAGGGAAAGCCACCCTTTCAGATTGAAATTTGGAGCCTGCTTTGCCCTGGGGGCAGCCACTGTCTTGCCCTGGAGGGGTGCAGAGGTGGGTGAAAAGCAAAATGGTGGCCTCCTCCTCCCCAAGAAGCATTCTGGAGGGACCCCGCAGGAACCCACATAGGGCCCCCCAAGACAGCAGGGGCCCAGCTTTCAGTGCCCATACCCAGAACCCCGTTACCAGCAGGTGACACAGGCCTTTCAGATGCATGAGAACCACGGCTTGAGTACTTACAGGAGGTCCTGAAAGAGAGGGAAAAATACCTGGGTCAGTGTCATTGCTGTAGGGACAGAGGGGAGGCTGTCTGGGAAGCGGTGTGCAAGAATTATTCAGCGGAGGGGTTGCCATCGGGTCCTTGAAGACTGTCTTTTCCAGGCCCACGTTCACCAATACAATCTCTTCCCTCTTTATCTCCATACTTTCATAATCGGATGAGAAATGCAGAGGTCGGCGCCCCAGGCTCAACCCTGCTGGGGACCTACCGGTGACCCTTCTGCCTCAGCTTCCTACCCTACAAAATGGGCTCTTCAGGACCCGCCTGAACTTGTGTACAAGGCTGCTTTGCAGAACATGGGACGGTGGGCACTGAAGCACACTGAGAAAGGTGGAAATAACAGACCCTGCAAAGATGAGGGATGTTAGCACGCCCTGTGTGTACTGTGCCCTGCCAGGGAGGGGCAGCAGGCAGGCAGGGGCGGGCGCGGCTGCTCACTGTGGGTGCACCCTGAGGCCCATCGGCCCAGCCTGGTTTCTGTTTAACAGTGAGTTAGGCACGCCACCCCTCCAGGGTCTGCCACCCACAGCCTCTTTCTCAAAGCCCCCTCTGGGGCTCCGGCCCCACCCTCCTCCATGCCTCTCTGTTCCTTTCTCTTCCTGGTATCCACTCCCTGCCTCCCTCCCACGGCCGCAGCAGCAGACCTATCTCATTACTGGCAACAGCCAAGAATGACAAATTCAAGTGTTCCGAGAGGGAGAAAGAAGGAGTAGGGGTGAGGAGGAGGAGGGAAGGTTTAGAAAAGCAGCCCCGGAAAGATAGGGAAGGAAAGGCACTTCTGCGGAACATGAGCCACGAAACCCCCACGGCCCGCCCGCCCCAGTGATTCCCAGCTGAGCCTGGTGCGTCTGCCCGGCCCCTAGTGCCCTGGCCACGTTAACTCAGCTGCAACTCCTGTTGCTTCTTTTATGCTCGGCCAATAAAGGCTCCTATGTTTCCCTGCGCTCCTCCCGTTCCCAGAGCCGGCTTCCTTCTCTCCTCCTTCATCTGTCCGTTCCCTGCCCTGGTCACCATCCAGGAAGACACAGCCTCTTTCATGCTGGCCTCTGTCAAGCCATCATGTTAAGGGTGAACAAAATGTTTTAAATTAAAAGCAACAGAAAAAGTCAAGAGGTGTAGCGCCTGGGTGAGCAAGCCCCAGGCCCCAGGCTTGCATGCAGGGCCCAGAACACGTGGGAGGGAGCACCGGGCAGGGGGAGCATCTGGGACCCATTAGGCTGAGGGGCAGAGGAATGTCACCCAGAATCTGAAAATATCTCAGAGTGCAGCCTGCCAGAGGGGCCAGCCCAGCTGGGGAGTCTGTGCTTCCCAGAGGGGGGAGGTGTCCCCTGCATGAGAAGCAGGCTGGTGACAAAATTCAGCCTGTGGCAATTTTGGGATGGTTCAGCCACATGGAAAGCAGATGACTTGCGCCTGCCAGGCCTGACGGGGCCCTGGCTCCCACTGTGGCAGGCTCTGGTGAGGCCCCCAGTTACCCAGGCTGGACCTCTGAGGGCAGCCCTGCCTGTTGTTCGCAGTCTCGGGCATAGGTGTCACCAGATACAGCCAGGTAGCTGGCACAAGACTCGACACTCAGCCCGGTGGCCGAAGAGCACTTTGCTGGGTCCACCCCTGGGGGATATTAATTCTACTGAAGATTTTGAGGGCTTTTATATTACTACCACCATCATCACTGCACACACCTTTATGGGCCTTATTAGGTGCCAGGCACAATTCGAGGTGTTTTCCATTACGCAGTAGGTTCTATCATTCCCGCCTTGCAGATGAGGAAACTGAGACGGGGAAGTTTGAGCGACTCCCCAGGGCCATGCAGCTAGTGAATGGGAGTGCCCTAGACTCTTCTCTACAGTGCCTTTCTCTCCGTCTCTCGCTCAGAAAGCAACCTACCCCTGACCCCGCAGTTGCCCGCAGACCCAGTCCTCTCCAGTCCTTCCCCTGGGATGCCTGTCATGGTCAGCCTCCAGCCCCCTTCTCTGACTCAACCCTCTCATCTGTCTTTTACAGGTGCCTTTGTCTTATGCAAGGGAATTTGGCTCTGCCAAGCTCTTCCAGGCTGCCACTCCCCATCCCTGTCCCTTACAGGGACTTCAGAAACAGGAAAATCCTCTTTGTGAGCTAATACTGTGCCATAGGAAGGGAGAGTGATGTAGGGGTGCTATAAAAGAAGGCTTTCTCCTGTTAAGGATGGTCCTCATGGGTCCCCCTGGAAAATCTTTGGGTGCCTTGGAAAGCCCAGCTGCCATCCTGCCCCTGCCAACTTTCATTTGACAGGCCTGTATTGGGACAGCCCTGGGATTCCAAGCAGATGCTTCCCCTGATGCTGTGTTCAATGCTTGGCAGCTCTAAGATGCTGGGGAGCTGATGGCTTTGCAAAATCTAGCAGTGCCTGGATGTCACTTGTTGCTCTCCCATGTGGGCCACTTGGCTGTGCCCATCACCCTGGCCAGTCATCAAAGGATGGAGTCACCCCAAAGCATTACCAAGTCCCCACAGTACAGATGGAGAAAGAGAGGCCCAGGGAGATTCATGACCATGCAGGGCCACTTTGTGGGCAGGTGATGGGGGTGGGACCAGCACACAGTCTCCTGACTCCCATCCTGGTGTCTTCCTAACAGCACGCCGTAACTCATGACCTGCGCAGTTGATCCCGCCGAGGTACAGCCCACACTACCACATCTTGAGAGAGGAGGAAGACACCTGGACTCCACCCATGCACCTGCTGCTTCCTCAGGAGGACACCTGTTTCTTGCAGCAGGGAGACTATGAAGATTGTCCCAGCGCCCTCAGGTGGCGCAAGCAGGGCTGTCAGGGGAGGGTCACAGCAGCCATCCAGGGTGGGGACATTCTGCCTGAGACCTCCCTGCTGATGTCTGTCTCCACCGCCTCAGCTTCCTGCTAAGGCCACTACTGTTCTCCCCTGGGGTTTGACCCACCGCCTCCAAGCAAGGCAGCCATGCTCCCCCAAAATGGACACATAGAGATGGACCCCTATGAAGAATTCTGGGGTAGCATTGTGGGTTGGGACTTTTTTTCCAACCACTTTTTATATGTTCATTCATTCAACAAACACTTAACAATGCCTACTGTGGGTGAGTCACTGTGCTGGGCTGTGGCTCTCTAAAGATGAATTGAGTATAGTCATTGTCCTCTGAGGAAGGAAAACTTCATTATTTAAGCACTTATTATCTACCAGGCCTGATGCAAAGCTCTGATGATAAGAGATGAATAATTCATTTCCTTCTGCTGAGAAGGCAACAGTTTCCTATGTTAGAAAGCTGGAGGAATTCCAGAGATGAGAACTAAAACAAACATGAGGGTTTAAGGGAGAGAGCTTTGCTGTAGGAGGATTCATTTCTTCGTTCCTTCATTAATTCAATCGGCATCATTTACTAAGTGTCCATTATGCGGCAGACACAGGACAGAGTGTTAAGTATGGTAACTATCACACCGCACTTCATCTTTACAACAACCTTGTGAGGTTGGCGTTATCACCCCTTCCATAGACTTGGAACCTGAAGCTTAGAGGTTAAGCAATCTGCGTAAGGTGGTCACTTTGCTCTTAAGTGATGGCATCTGATTCTTAAAGTTTTTAAACTTTAATTATTATTTTTTGAGATAGGATCTCACTCTGTTGCCCAGGCTGGAGTACAGTGGTGCAATCACAGCTCACCGCAGCCTCAACCTCCCTGGGCTCAGGCAATCTTCCCATCTCAGCCTCCCGAGTAGCTGAGACCACACAGCACGCCTGGCTAATTTCCGCATTTTTTGTAAGGATGGAGTTTTGCTATGTTGCCCAGGCTGGTCTCGAACTCCTGAGCTCAAGCTATCTGCCTGCCTCGGCCTCCCAAAATGCTGGGACTACACGCATGAGTCACGCGCCCAGCATAATTTTATTGTTTAGCTTTTATTTCCGTACAGTAGAGCCTGGATTTGAACCTGGTCTCTCTTGCTCCACAGCCTGTGTTCTCCTGGCTGGAGATCACGAAGTTCTCAAGGGTAGAAGGGTCAGCTGGGCCCTCAGCCCTTTCTAAAGTGGGCAGGTATGTCCCCTCCCCATCATCCCTGGACTTGGTCCCACCCAGTCGCTGGACCCAGTCCTGGTCCTGAACAGGGGGCGTCAAGAGTGGAAGGGTGCTCCCAAGTTCAGCATCATCTGAACCATCTTCTGACCCTGCTGTGCCTCTGGGCTCCCAGCAGCTGGGGTCCTAGCCCCCACTCACACCACCTGGTGCCTGCTTCCCGGCTGCCTGTAGCCGACCACCTGCCCCCAGTTCTGCAACGTGCCCAACCCACCCATCTCTGCCAAGACAGGTGTTCTGCCTCATGGGCTCCCCTCAGACCTCGGGTGACTAGTGATATTGGATACACTCTGCCTGCTGGAGCAGGGGTTCTCAGCTTGGGGGGGATTTGGCTCTCCAGGGAATAGTTGACAGTGTCTGGAGACATTTTTGATTTCATAACTGGGAGCCTTCTACTGGTCTCTAGTGGGTACAGGCCAGGGATGCTGCTAAAAAGACAGTGCACAGAGCCTTCTACCACAGACCCATCTGGTCCCACATGTGAATAGTGTTGAGGATGAGAAACACTGTGCTGGACTAATGGCACCAGACCTGCCTCGGGGCTCTCCCTGTGCCTCAGTCCCTACGACGCACGCCGTCACCCACGCCCCAGTCCTTGCTGACCTATGGTTTGCCAACTCTTGGGATCTCGTTCTTCTAGTTTGGCCTGTTCCACCTCCATCCAAGACCTCATCAGGACAAATAGTAATTTGTGTGTTACTCATCTATTGAGCATGTACTCTGTGCCTGACACTATGCTGAGACCCTTATGTACCTTATTTCACTCGGTCTGCCCAACAACCCGGTGAAGAAGTTATGATGGTTATTGCTCCCACTCTACAGATGGAAGAGCTGAGGCCCAGGCAGTTTATGACATATTCAAGGTTGCGAAACACATGCGTCACCGGGC